ACTTAGGGTGGTTTCTTCCCTCTAAGCCATGTTTGTGAAATAGTTAGAGGGTCATTTCGAGAAGCTCCCTTTGCTGGACCTGCATTCTTGTTTTGTGCAAGTTACAGGGGGGTTCTTCAAAGGTTTGGGCGCCCCTGCCCCAGCTGAAACGGATTGGGGTTCCTCACTTGGGGATTGTTTCGGTTTGGTGGAGGAGTTGACCATGTGGGGTGTCAAAATATGAATTGGACCCCCCAAAATGTTTTTGGTTTCCCTTGCAAAACTATAGCTCGGAGTTTAATGGGCTCTCAGGAATAGATGAAAGGGGGGGGCTTCAGCCGTGGAATGCTACCCAAAACTCACATATTGAGCTATGCAACCCGGAAACCCACCGAATAGAGAGAGAGAGAGGGAGAGAGCAGTTTCCTTTAGGGACCAGTTTTCAGGCTCGCAGAAACGAAACTGTTGAGGGTGCCCTTTTGGGGTTGCAGGAGGGCAACCCAAGGGAAACCTCCGCAGCCATGTCGTGTTGCGGGTTCCGAATTCCCGTGAGACATACCCATGTGGGCTAAGTGTCCTTTCGTTTGGTTAGTTTGGTAAGAAATAGATGGGTAATTTGTTTGGCCGATTTACCAGGGCCGGCTATGTTTCCAACCGGTCCATGTGGGTCTTCAGAGGCACGCTCCATTTTTGGACTACAAGGTAGGCTGAAACGCAAGGGAAACCAAGAAATATAATCCTGTTCAGAGCAGCATTCAGATGCTGATTCAAGGTTTGAAGCGAGTGAAGCAAGTCCAGCCCATTTTGGCGCGTGAATCTTCGCACTAAAGTATGTGGTCAGGCTTTGTGTGTGTCTGTGTCTGTGTCTATGTCTGCGTGTCTGTGTCTGTGTTTGTGTCGGCGTCCGCGTCCGCGTTCGTGTCTGTCTTTGTGTCTGTGTGTCTGAGTCTGTGTCTGTATGTTTGTGTGTGTGTGTGTGCGTAAGTGTGTTTGTGTGTGTGTGTGTGTCCCTGTGTCTCTGTGCATCTTTGTCTCTGTGTCTCTGTGTCTCTGTGCTTTGTGTCTCTGTGTCTCTCTGTCTCTCTGTCTCTCAGTCTCTCTGTCTCAATGTCTCTGTGTGTCTGTGTGTGTGTGTTTGTGTTCCTGGCTGTGTTTGCGTCCGTGTCCGTGTCCGAGTCCGTCTTTCTGTGTCCATGTCCATGTCCGTGTTTGTGTCTGTGTCTGGTCTGTGTCGTGTCTGTGTCCTTGTCAGTGTCCGTGTCTTTGCCCGTGTCTGTGTCCGTGTCCGAGTCCGTCTTTCTGTGTCCATGTCCATGTCCGTGTTAGTGTCTGTGTCTGGTCTGTGTCGTGTCTGTGTCCTTGTCAGTGTCCGTGTCTTTGCCCGTGTCTGTGTCCGTGCCTGAGCCCGTGTTCGTGTCCATGTATGCTGTGCATGTGTGTTTGCTTTAGGGGCAAATTGTCGTTTTGTCAAGCTGCCAAGGGCGATCCATCCCGGCCCGCTGATGTTGCTTTTGGTACCAAGCTATTCGCCAAGGACCTCGGCCTTTCCAGCTTTGTGCGTTTTGGAAAACAGGCCGGATGTTTCGAGATAACGGGCGTGCTACGTATTACTTTGGTGCCAAGTAAACAGGTGGCGATGGAGCCCTAGAGTTGGTGACTAGAAGTGGGTGTGCCTTTTTGAGGCTACCAGGGCTGGTTTCAAGGAAACCCATGGTTTGTGTCCAAATCCATATGACATATGAACAGAACAAGCCGGAGCTTCCGTGACCCTGTTTTGGCGGGTTTTTGTCCTGCAAATCGGAGTCGGTGCAACCCAAAGTTATGGTTAATGTACCTGGACCCTCAAACGGTTTTTACTGCAAATTGGTTACTAGGTCTCCCAGTCCTGCCCTTTTACCTTTTTTTTTTGGAGGGTTCCCCTACTAAAATAGACTACAGAAAAAACAAGTCGGGTACCCTTATTCTAACCTCTCCACTGGTGGACCTAGGTTAGCTAATGATTTCTCCTATTTTTGGGGGTCCAGGTCCCCCGTCGAGGGCCAAGAAATCCGCGAGCGTTTTCGTTTCGGTTCGGGAACTTGAGGACAGGCTCGCGGATTCGTGAGACGTGAGGTGCGAGAGGACCGGACCAGTGGCCATGAGTTGTCTGATATGTCTTTAAGTGACACCAAAAGGGGATCTTTCTCCCCGATTTCCTGGACTTGATATGTACTTTTCGGGAAAATGGTGCAAGCGCTAAACAAAAGTGTGTGTTCTTTTTGGCCATCCACTCGATCGGAAGTGCAGGAAGGATATTTTCTTGATGAGTTCTTTGGTGCAAGCCATGAACAGCAGAAAATGGGCAATGGTTTCCTAGGGCCAATGTTTTACCTGAATCGGGGCTCACCGAGTCCCAACTTGATTCGAGAGACACCCAAAAAAGGTGTTCAAGATTTTGTTCTTTTGGACTGCTCCAACAACTGTTTTTTCGGAAACTCAGTTCCAGATCTCAGGCCGAAGCTCCAGTAACTCAAGCGGAAACGCAAGTCCGCCAATTCCAAATCAAGTCAAAAGTAAAGTTGGTGCGGCTCAAAATTAAAGAGCCAGGGTTACGCAGGTTTTAGTTATTGGTTTCATTTTTTTTTAATATTCATTTTGGTACATGTTGTTGAGCCACAGCCAAGTGGTTCTTTGGCACGCTCCTTTCAGGGACCACTGGACCGCCCTCTGCGGAGGTAGGGTTCCTGTTTGTTCCTTTGGAGCCAAAGCAGCTCTGCCAATGCCTCCGTCTAAGTGAAAATCGGCGCGCGGGGCAGAATGTCGACCATGCCATCAGTCTTCCGATGTCCCTCAACGAAATCCTGAAAAGAGTGGGGCATGACTCAAGGACCTCTGAAAAATGTGACTGCTGGGTTATATAGAGACTTTAGGTGGGTCACATATCTTGCGTAATATTATGAATGCCTCCAAGGGGGGCTATGGTTTGAATTGGGGGGGTCTATCCCTGGATGGCTTCCCAGATCACCCAAGAAGAAGCCCAGGTCATAACAAGCGATTGGGTTAGGCGATAGCCCACCCATTTCTGTCGATGTGGCTTCAGAAACTGAGAATTCTGACCAGCCCGCTTCGCCGCCCCCCCCCCCCCCAATTTGTTTTTCCCATGTCCAAAATCGTGTTTGTACCGTGGGATTGGAAGGAACCTGTCGTCTTCTCCTGATCCTACCCAAGGCTTCCCAAGTGGATGCCGAGATGTTGAACTCGTAAGGACCTGGAGCCATCCTTTCGTGTGATGGCCAAGAAACAGTACGGCTGCCTAAACCCTCAAACTGCCCTTCAACAAATGGGGTGCCATAACCCATTTTCGGGTAGCTTGAGGATGCAGGTGATCAAAAAGACGGCTACATTGTGTTTGTTTACATTACATCAAGCCTTGTTCCCCTGCCGACCATTCACCTTGCTCGCAGTTGGTTCAAATTGGTGGTTTGGATTTGGTGGTGCTGTGAATAGTTTTCACCCAAGTGCACATCGAAATGAGATTGACCACGTAGAAGGATCAGAATCCTTCTTGGGTTGTAGGGTGGGGGGCAACTCGGTTTTTCCCTCTAGTGTTTATGGCTTAGTCTTGGCAAGTAGGCGCCTTTCTGGGGCAGGCGTGCTGGTTCTCAGAGAACGACCCCATCGATCAAGCATTTCCCACCAGGTAATGTTTTGAACAGCAGCAAGTTCGTACTGGACAGGATCCATTTCACAGCAGTTGATGAAACCCTAGTAAAACTTGGAAAAATAAATCCCCAACTGGTGCAGGATTCCCTGTTGGTTCTTTGAAAACCGGAATTCAACTTGAAATTGCCGGGTTCCCTACGTTGCAACCAGTGACACCCTGACTTTTGAACCCCTTTCATTGCGAGCAACCCCTGTTCAGAATACCCTTCGGAGTGGGAACCCAAGGATCTAAGTAGCCCTGCTCGTAGATTTTGTTGGGTGTCCTCCTCAGTGGGGATTCATCACGAACTGGAGGGGAACACCCTCTATTAATATATGATGGGTTCTACCTGGATCCGCGGTGAACACTACGTGCAATCCGCTTTCAGCTTTTGCTCGGACGCCGAACGAATCGGTGAAGCGCGGAACGAAGCGATCGTGAGGTGAACACATCGCCACTCGGTTGCCGCACTCCCTGGATTGCTGGACTTCTTTGCTTTGGGCAGACCATGTTAGTGGCCAACAACAAGTCTTTTTTTGCTGGCCAATCCGCTCAGGAAGTGAGTTGGATGTTTTGTGTTTTTTCGTTTGAAGATTCGCTCAATATGGACCAGAGCCAAGCAACATATGAGGTTCAGTCCGAAAATATCCGAACAAACAGTGGCTCTTGCCAACTCAACCCGTGCAGATTATGGTTAACATACGAACATGTCCCCCACAAGGACAGAGTTAAGCTGACCTTTTAGGGATGCAAGACTAATTAAAGATTGATGTTTTGCAGCCCTTCGTTGGTCAACCGCAGGGTTCGGTGATCCTTTTACACATGTTTAAAAACCACTGCTCAGCAACCCGCGTGTTTGGTCGCCCTGTGTAATGGGAGGATCCCGGTGGTTCAAATGATCATGAAGCCTTCAAAGGAGGGGCAGCAGAATGCTCCAAAGAGTGGTTTCTGGGTTACATGTGATTCTTGGGATGGCTTGAGCTCCTGGGGCACATGTTTCATTGAGCAAACCAAAATGCAACCGATACCCACAAACGCAATCTTCAAATAGGTCAAGTGTTGGCATGTGTTACATTCACTGTTAGTTGGTGGTTTGGATTGTGGTTTGCATCTAGGTATGAACCCCTGGTTCCTGTTGAGGGTAAATGGGAAACTCACCCCGTTTCACCTCCAAAACCACCAATCCAAACCAACAATTTGAGGGAAGCTGAGCCAACCGCTTATGGAATCCGCAAAAAGGGTAGGTACAAGCTGGGCCCTTTCGGGTTCCTTGAGTCTGAGAGAACCCCTCCTTCGACCACCTGAATGGGACTGCTGAACCAACCGCGACGCGGAGGCCATGGCAATGGAGTTGTCGCCGGAGGAGATGCGTTCCATCGCCAAGGAGGCCTTTGTCTACGGATGGCCCATCTGTGACTTCGATGCATAGCGAGCCCCGCGGTCTTCTGCGCCGTTTCAGGATTTCGGGATTTCGGATTTCGGGCCCCTGAAAAGGACCAAAGCGGGCAGATGTCGCAGGCCAAGTTGGACCGTCTTCCTGTTGCTTTCCCTTCGCCGCAAAATGAGACGTACCAACTCCCAAGAGAGACGAGCCACCCATCGGTTTTCAGGCTCAGCCGATTCACCGCTGGGAGTCGACTAAACAGGGGGCCTTGAAATGGGTCGAATCCCGGACGCACTGGATAACGAGCCCTTGCGACTTGTCTTGCAAGGTGTTTTTTACAAGAGACACAAACGCGAGAGCCGTTTTTTTGTTTTCCCCATGTGGAAAGAAAATCCACGGGGGGTCTCGTGGAAACTCGCATGGAAAATCCCATGGTCGATCTGAATGGCTCGCTCATCCAAGGTGAAAACTACAACACCCTCTATGCCTATGCCATTGACGTGGACGGCCCAGCCTACAAGGCACCGATGAGCCATGGCCAGAAACTCTTGTTTGCCCCCTGAGTTTGCTTCATCTTCCTCGCAGTGGATCCATTGGCCGGGTTTTTGTACAGGAGCCAAGGAGTTTCCATGAGCTTCCCGCTCCTTAACAAGAAGTGTGTTTCTTCTTTTTTTACCCCGGTGGATCCATTTTTTACCTGATTTTGTAGGTTACCAAAAGTTGTTTGTTTTTTTTTTTCCGGTGGATCCAATGAGTTCCCTGGTTTTGTAGGCAACCACAGAAAATTCCCAGCCATAAGAAACGGATTGGGATCCACTGGGCCCTGTTTTCTCCCGAAGAAGCGAGAACTTGTTGCGTCGGAGCCGGAAGTGGGATTGAAACAACTGGTTTACGGCTTCCTTTTGAAGGGAAAACAAAAAGGAGGTTCTTTGATGCCCGAAATCATTGCAAGAAAGGGAACAAGGTAACCGAGTAATTTGCGATAGTTTACCATGGTTGTGTGCTTAAGTATGGTTAATTTACTTGCAATGTTTAAGGCACGCATCGTATCATCCAGTACCTCCAGTTACCACTATAGTAGGTAAGCAGGTGGTTTTCTGAATTATAACGACCTCACACGGCCTCACCCCAAATGTTGGTTTATGCGGGGAATGCCCCGAAACCACATTATTTCAGGTTGGTGACATATTTTAGTTCACCTAGCTTCAAGAAATACCAGAAAATAATGGGAAAAACACTGAAAACCCAGTTGGTTCAAGAACTACCTGGAAAAAAAAAGAAAAAGAACAGAACACATCGGGAAGTATGTTTGAAACTCAACCCGGATCGTCTGGCTCCAAGGAACCATCTCCACAGCGAGGCGCGGGTGTTTACGCCGGAGGACAAGGTGGTGGTGACGCCCAACTCAGACACGCCCTACTCCTTCATTTGGATGCTTGGCTCTTCCGATCCGTTTTGCACTCATACGGAACCTGCCAGGTTCCTTGTGGTTTTGAAAGGGTGGTGCTCTGGGGTACCTACTGTACCTGTAACACAGGCCAAGTTGCCCAGTGGTGTCCTTTTTTCCTTTTTTTGGGAAGGCAACCAACCAAAACAGGATGCCCTTTTTTCCCATGGCCACTGGGCATCTGAGCAGGTAAATGAATGCACTAGCTTAGGGTCAGTTGGCTGGACTGACCCACTTCCCACGTGCCCACAGATTGGTAAACCGAAAGAAGCTATTTTGTTGGGTTGGATGCTTGGCTTACACAGGGGCCTTCAGACATGTGTTATATCTCACGCAATGGATCCCAAGTAACCAGCCGTTGTCCAAATGTGGTGTTCAAAGGCGATTCCCCCTTAGCTACCTCCTTTTGTAGGTAGGTGGACCCTCAAACTACCCCTAAATAGAATGTTATTGCCCCAAAATTTTGTAGGGTGGGTTCCTGGTTTGTTAGGTTCAGGTATCAACTTGTAGTTTCAGGCTGTTCCAGGTCTGAACTGGGCAACTGAGAGGGTCGCTGAGGATTGGGTGTATGTTTGGTAGACGATACCCCTTTCTTGGTGGTTTTAAAGGGACGCCAAAAGGACAAACCAACATTTTTTGTATTCGGGGGGCTTCCCTATGTTGAGACAAACCCATGGTTTAGGATCGTTGCACGACGTGGCTTTTCAAGGTTGGAGCGCTTTCCATGTTTAATTCACTAGGTAAAAGTTATGTTTTTAGAAGGGGATCTCAGGAGATTTGCTTTGGAGGTGCAGGCATCTGGCAACACAACCGAAAAGCCAAATGGAGGGAGGGTTGTTTTTGGGCATCGCCGCTGCGCCAATCGCCTCCCATGTTGGACAATCCTGCTGAGCGTTGGAAGTTGATGACGGATGACTCTTGTGGCCATTTTTCGGGCAAACCCTAGTTGGTGGTTTTGATAGGTGATTTGGGCATTTGAACCTCTGGTTCTTGTAGCCACCACTCAAACACCAAACCACCAATCGAAACACACAATTAGAGGGATGCTGAATATTTGTGTGGCTGTGTATTTTTTAGGGGCCAAGAAATCGCTGGTGTCCTTTTGCTTCCCTCAACACCACCCCAAAAAGTGCCCAGGGTACCCTAAAGACAAGACACACCCATTGGCCATGTTTTTCTTTTCCACTCGGGGTTTTGTTGCAATCCTGTTTCTGGTTTCCCTCTCATTCAAAAGTACCGTGCCGGGGACATGTCTGAACTTGTGTGTATAACGGGAATAATTATATAAAAGGGCACGGTTCTTAGTGGCTGGGAACCCTAGTTATAGCCCACAGGAGTAAGCCAAGTAAATGAGTCACAAGCAGGGTTAGCAACTTGCTGGTCGCACCCTGCCCCGTTATAAGGGCATATCGGCATATCTCTTGGGAGCCTTCCCTAGGGGTACCTGATGGAGCCCTTAAAACGCGCGTTGCATTCGCAATCGCGATGCATGAAGCCTGTAGCACAGGGAGGGAACGTGGGTCTAGTCCCTGTGATACAGGGTGCTCGAGCCATTTTCCTTCTTGTAACCTCCTTTCAGTATCGATTGTTTCAACGGAAACCGCTATAGTAAACCCTTGTGCTGGCGTTGCAACCCTGAAACCCTGAAACGGTGCTCGCCCTACCCTGAAACATAGGTGTGCTGTTAGGTTAGGTTAGACTGGTTGTAAATAGATGGGTTCCACAGGTTTGGAATGGTTTTATGCGCCATGTACAAGGGAAACCCCGAAACTGGCTTGCTTGTAGGAGCAACGACCATATGGGTATGTCTTGAATAAGGGGACCCCCAAACATGTTGGTTTTCCCTTTGGTTTCCCTTCAAAACCACAACACCTGTATAAGCCAAATCAGCTCAAAGAGTCTCCAGCCGAAGAACCGCTCAACAGAAATTCCCAGGATGGACTTACGTGCTGAGCCCGTCTTGCTGACGGTTCCGAAGATGGAGGAGGATCGCTATTTCTCCTTCCAGCTGCTTCCCGGCGTGGATTTCCTCTGCAAATTCAGCTGCAACCCCGATTAAAGAAGTTTCCTCTACTTGACCTTCAAACTACCCATGTTCAGGGAACAACCCAGATCAGGTACACATCATGTCTCTATGTTTTCCGAACCTCAAGGGGTGTTTGAAGGAGTGTTGACAGATGGCGTTCGATTGGGAACAAACTTGGCGAAAATTTATGCTTAAATGGGAATGTACATCGCCCCAGTTTGGGGGCTTTCGGGGAGTTGGAGGATCCATGTGGGTGTGTCTTCTTTCGAGGCTACCTTTGTTTTTCATGGTTGTACAGGACACTATGAGTCACGCCATCACTTTGGGGTCCCGGTTTTGTCAAACAAAAACAACGGCACATGTGGTGTTTGCTTTCTTTTCGGGTCTCTTGACGAAAGGCCACGCTCCAAAAAAAAATGGACGGAAGTCCGTTGGTCTGGCAGCCAATTTGGACGAGCCGCGAATTATTTTCCGCTTTTTTGCGTGCCAGGGCCACACTTTCTGTTTACGGCTATTTGCTTGGCGGTTCCCAGCGAATCGTCCGGTTGCGGAGATTTAGGTTTTTTGTTGGTTTAGCGGGGCTTTCCACTTAGCCCACAAGCTAAACTTTGAGCAGGGGATTTGAGGACAGCTCAATCTGGTTGAATCTTTGGACTTTAACTTTTTGTGAAACCGTGGAGTGTCCCTTGGACCCACAAAAAGTTAAACTTCTTGCTAGGTTTGGGAGAGTCGCAGCTTGACTCAAGGAGTGGTCATGCATGGAAGGAGGTGGCCGAACCTAAGAAAGGCCACCCCAATTCTTCCTTTGTACGAGGGAAAGAATATACACGGAGCAGGCCCACGCGCTTTTCTCCAATGATGGCTGTGTTGTTTTTCTTGTCCCCCTTTGAAAACCCATCAGAAGACCCGGTGGTTTGGAGATTTTAACCCTCAACCACCAAACCACCGGGCGCCAAGCCGAAGCTGACATCTGAAGTTACTTAGGGTCCGACTCAATCTGTGGAAAGATCCGCTTGGTTCGTTCTTTGACCTTTCAACTTGTCGTGTAACATGTGGGTGTGTCGTTTTTACGGATACTAGTACCCTTTGAAAGCCAAGGGGAAACCGCCCAACCTTGGGCTAGCCACTGAGGGGAAACCGGGCAGCAACCTCAGCTTTCCCTCCACTTGGGCTGGGGATGGTGGACCCTTCAGGGATGTTGGACAACGAATGTAAGGGATTTGTGAGGGGATCATGACCTACATCTTAGGAGTTTTGATCATTGCACACTTGTCCAGATCGAGTAGCGAAAACCATGGCCATAGGGGACGGTTGAAAAAGGGCTCCTTCCCGGATTCCCTCATTTCCCTCCTGAGAACCAGCAAGTTATGTAAGAGGAAAACCATAGAGGATGGTTTATAGGAGTCATTCCCTCATTCCCTGCTGGGAGCTGGCCGGGAAAGGCCCTTTTTGAGGTGCCAAGATTAGGGTTGGCCTTTTGTTGCCAAGGATCGACATGTACACGCACAACTTTGCCTACCTGGGCACCCGATGCACTGGCAACCAAGGACGGAAATATCGGCGTGTCTTCGAACCCGAATCCACCGGAATTTGCCCCAAGGCTTCTCTCAGAAAGGGACTGTTTCTAGGAAACCCCAAAGAAAAAACTTTGTGGCAGTGGGTTCTTCCCTCTCAAAAGAGTCAAAGAGTGCATTTTGATGCTCACACCTGACTATTTGATGAATACACCCCAACTTATTGAAAGGCGGGCTCCCTTTTCGTGGGGAATCCTTTCTTCCAGGGGGTCAACATTAATGGATTTTCTCTCAAACGTGTCAACTGGATTTGTACCCCAGAATTGATGGTTTTCCTCGTGGTTTCCTTTCAACCAATCTCAAGCTCGCGCCCTGAGTTCCGTTTCGTGCTTTTTTTTCTGGCCCGGAAGTCAGAAAAGGCTACCAACCAACTAGGTCACATGTTGATAAAAGGCCGAGCTACGGCGGCCATTGTTCAACTTCGCCATGCTTCTGACCCCTTGCTATTTGCAAGGCAAAACGCAGACGCACGCCCTACAAACGCGCTGGTGTTTGCAACATGTTCCGCCTTCGGGTTCAGGAAGGGAGAAGCGGAAAAGCATTTTTTGTCACAAGTTCCCACCCTTCATGCGATGGGTTCCAACTCGTTACTGAGACCGCAATCTTCCTTTAGACTTTGCCAAACAAAACTGAACATGTGGCTGCGAAAGGGCGAGGGCTGACGCATTGGCCACGCCCTGCCTGCTATTCACAGAACTGAGCAAACACCTGTGAAGAGATTGCCAGTATTAGTAGCGGTCTAGTTTCTTAAAGTCCTGTAGAAGTTTACACTTTTAGAGCCCGAAGAAACCATGCCCACGCCACGCTTGAACTAGTGCAGAATAAAACACCAAGTTTTTCTGTAAACCGGCTTTTCGGGCCCAGGGACATTTTCAGTTACCTAAGGCATTGCCGTGGCTGCATCAACCGGATGCGCACGCAAGTGAGTCAGGCGACGAGACAGCACAAATGAGCAGGACCTGGAAGAGAAGAAAGGAAAGCGAACCAAGCGTCGAGCAAGGCAAACTCGTGGCGAGTAGATCGAAATTGGGAGGGGCCCGACAGGACAAGGAGGAATGTGGGAGTCCAAGTAAAAGGTCAGCGAGCCAAGCAACACGAAGCAGCGAGCACGGGTGCGGTGGGGCGGAGCCAGCAAGCCTCAGCAAAAGCACAAGAGAAACAGCACAAGTAGCGCAGGAGGCTGTTGCCATCCCCCCCCCCCCCCCCCAGCAGCAGGAACGAAAACGCAGAAACGTGCAAAACACGGCCTAATTTCAGCACGCCTCCAAACAAAAGCCCAAACGCGCTGCACAGTTAGGTCCAGTTGCTCCCGAAAGGTGTCGGGGAAACTCTTGCCCCCAGCGCATCTCCGGATCTGACCTTGTGGTGTTCCCTCGGCGGCCAGTTTTGGAGCTGCCTTAGGTTAATCTTTGATTGGCAGCTACCTCTGCAAGCCACGTAGGTCATGTGGGCCACTGCAGACATGCAGTGTTTGGGAAACGGTTCTACCTTTCACATGGTTCTCGCTCCCTGAGCTCCTGGACAGACGGCTCTCGTGGCAAACCAAGGTTTAGTGGTTTCTTTGTTGCCCATCCACGCGACCGGAAGTGAGGCAATCATCACGATCTACCCATAGATGGTTGAGTTGGGTATGTGTTTTTGAGGTTACCCAGTTTTTCTATGGTGGGGAGGTCCCCTAGAAAAAGCCACCCAGTTGTTGTTCGTTCTTTTTTGGGGGGTGGGGGGGAATGGGGGCATGGGTGGGTGGGAAGCGATGCGAGGAGGTGTCTACATGGTAACCGGCCCCAACTGGACAGGGGGCAGTGATGGAGCAACTTGGCAACGGGAGTTGGGCCAAACGTGATCCACAATAAAAACCAGGTAGATGAAGGTTAGTAAACGAACACTCCCAGCCAAAAAAGAGTGCAGCCACCTTTCAGATTCGCTACATGGTTCTGGGCAGACCATAAAAACAAGTTCTAATACCAGGTTTTGATTGTGACTCACATGACACCACCAGATCCCTCCCTACGAGAAACCAAGAGGTTCAAACATGGGTGCCGAACGTTTTGGTTATGAATGAGGTAGACCTCCGTGTGGGCTTTCCTCGCTTTATAACCGCGTTTAGAACAGAGGCGTTGGGCGGCCATGCGCAAGCAGCATAGGTATCAAGGCCTAGCTAGTTAGGATGGAAAACCAAATGGGCGTGTAGTTTTGTTGAAGAGCCACCGCTGGGTTGGTTTTTCAAACAGAAACAGAAGGGAATCTGCCAATTCCTATTTTGAGAGACACCCAAGCTGGGCGGCTTTTTTTTAGGGGACCCCCCCAAACATGGTGGCTTCCCGTTTGTTTAACCTTTAAAACCGCCGAACATGGGCTCCCCAATATTGCTCAGCGACTACTTTGTGTTGCGAGCGATTCCACAGATTCGGGGAGTACAACGCGCTCAAACCCATGTTGTAGATCCTTTGCTTGGCGATCCGTTTTTCAAGATATATCAAGCTTTTGATTTGTGTGGCCCATCCACCCAAGAAGTACGAAGACCCCCTGTATGGTGATAGAACCTTCCTGAGTGAAAGCAGATGGCACAATTGCCCTTCTGGGATGATGACGCCAACAACATCGGGCCCCAGTGCGTCCAGGATTTCTTGCCTCTCAGTCTTGCATGATGGGTTTCCTTCCCCTGGTTACCAGCTATATCCAGGGTGGGCACGGTTCGGTTAGGTTCGGTTTTGGGAGTTCCGGTTCGGTTCGCTCACAGTTCGGTTCAAGAACGGTTCGGTTCGTCCGGTGCGGTTCCCCGGTTCCCACGGTTCGTTTCGCCGCCAATCGCTCGGCGCTGCGCGGCCCCTGGGGGGCTACCAAAACGAAAGGCTACCAAAACCTCTCAGAAACTATTAAACAAATGCAAATGCCGTCAAGCAAAACCAAAGGCTACCAAGGGCTACCAAGGGCTACCGAGCACTATGCAAAACTCTGAAGAGCGAGAAAAGGCACGAAGAAAAGCTCGCAAGTGCTGCGAAAGGCTACCAAAAGCTGCCAAAGGCCACCAAAGCCTACCAAGGGCAAACAAAACAGAGGTACTATGCAAGGCTACCAAAACCTACGAAAGCCACCAAAATTGAAACAAGAACTACGAAAGACTGCAAAGGCTACCAAGGGCTGCCAAAGGACTGTGAAAGCAAAGGCTACCAAGGGCTAGGGCTACCAAAGACTACGAAGAGCTACCAAAAAACCACGAAAGCTACAAAAGGTACCAAAGCAAAGGCTTCTTCTGGAAGTCTGGCGAGGAAAGTACTGGTTTAGCATTTGCTGATCTAATTTAAGTAGGGGCAGATTTTGGGGCTTGGGACGAAGGTATTCACAAAAAGTATATTTAAAAAATGGGGTGGGCTTATTGTAGCAAGAAGGGATTACTAGCAGGAAGGCTGGTGGCTCCCGGCCTGCTCAGCTGTGCCATTTGCGCAGCGCCGGTTCGGGCGGATTCGGGCGGATTCGGTTTGCTGCGGTTCCGGAGGGTTCGGTTCGCTGGGGTTCGGTTCGCGAGCGGTTCGGTTCGGTTTAGGTTCCGCGGTTCTCGGTTCGATTCAGCGGCATATCGGCAATTGGACACACTTGCGAGGGGCGGTGGGGTGGGGGGTGGGGGGATTTTGCCATCTACTGTATGTTAGGTTGGTTTACTTGTTCGGGGCTTGGTTCTCAGTGCATGGTGCCATTTGTGTCGCCCCTTCTATTGGATAAAGCCATGGCCATGTTTAGTCCTGAGCATCGTTAGTCAGCCCTGCTTGGGCCAAATCTTATTGTTCCCCGGCTGGAAGCTGTCTGGGCATGTTTTGGGTTGAAATGGACCCCCAAAGAAAAACCGGGGCTCGCCCTATTAAGTTTGCGGAGCGCAGCTAGGTTGAGTTCCGGAGGCTGTCAGGATCCCACGTTGTTGTTTACTTCGCCGCACCTCATCATTCCATGTCCTCGAGAGTTCAGCATGGGCGTGCCTTGTTGTTTTTTGTTCTTCCCCTCAGTACCTGGACCCTCAAACTACGCATAAAAATGGCGAACATTAAAGGGTAGCTTAAGGTCCAGGTAGCTTCTTGGGGTGCCTTGAAAGGGAAACCGAAGCCAGCCTTTGGGGCGTTTCTCTTTGACGCACACACATTTCTCGGACTGGATTTTGGGAATCCATGCCCAGCCATGTAGATTAAGCTGCTTCCTTTCGGTCGGTCCTTTGGTTGCCGGGTTTCGACCAAAGCACGGCCTGGAGTTAGAGGCTCCTGGCTTCGGCCTTCAATGGAAGACCCGACCCCGAAGCATTAGACACCCCGAAATCAATCCTGAGCCTCTGACTAAGTGAGGTTCGGTCGAATTTTCCAGAGTTGCGTATGGTGGGCTGGTTTTCACGAAGTCACTGGTCCCATGGAGAAAAAGAGTCAGTTAGACTCAGTCAGTTCATACGTGGAAGCGCACCGATCAACGACCCTTTTCCATTTCCCTTGGAACTGGACAGTCTTGGGGAGCTCAACCCGGGTAAACGTGAACCCTTCCCAAAATCCCCGAGAGACAAGAGACAACGTAGCCACAAAATAGTGAACAATTACCCATATGGGTGTGGCTCAAAATTAAGCAGGAGGGGGTTACGCAGGTGTTGGTCCATGTTTCCACTTACCAGGGTTCCATTTTGGTACCGGTTGTTTGAGCCACAGCCATATTTGATTAGACCCCGCATGCATTTCCCGGGTGGTTTCAGCTTGTGGCGTGCTTAAACATGTTCAAACCAGTAAATTGAATTGCCATCCTTTCCCTTGCCCAACCCTGCCGCAAGTGCCACAGATGGCGCCATGAGTTTTAACAGTCGGAACCTGAAAAGTGCGTGAAAATGAATATCCTCCCAACTTGGGTGTCCACCAAAACGGGACACTAATTAAAGTTCATGCACAGATGGCGCCCTCCTTTTTTGCTGTGCTGCTTCGATCAGCAAACTTATTACGCTTTTCGAGGATCATCAAACCCGAAGTATTCGATCAAGCCACGGAAAGCTCAAGCCAAGCAAGAAGTCCAAAGTGGCATGTCTGTGGGTGAGCACTTCCTTGGGATTTCCACTACCTAGCAGACAGGGGTCATGGAAATCGCCATGATTGCTTCGGGTCAGAAGGAGACTCCAGGGTTCTGCTATGACTTGTGATTTGACATCGGCGGAGCACATGTTATGATTGTTGATCATTCGGAACAAACATCCCTCCTAGGGCCAATAAGGCTACATTATGAGGTTAAGAGTTAATTTGGGTTCCCTCCCCGGCCAAATGAATCTCCAAGTTTGGTCTTGTTTGCTAATAAATCTGCGATTTGCTGAAGGAAAAGTTGTATTTTTCGCTGGTATTGAAGGGATTATATCACTATTGGACATATTGATTCCAGGGGACTTATGCAGAAGGCCTCGTGTTCCTACTAACCAAGCAAAAACACATCTGTTTGGTTGTGGGGTTTTCCTTTTGGTGTTCCTTTAAAGCCACCAAGAAGGAGGTGCCGAGCAACTCATCAAGCAAGCCTCGTGACCTCGTTGTGGCACCCCACTTGCCGCGTGCCGCAGCGGCTGTGAGGCACATGTGGACCAGGAGTACACCTGTGAGACGCCCTTCGCCTTGGCCATTGTGCGGACCCAGCTCAAGGCATGGTCTGCGGTGTGGCGGTGTCTTTTTGAGTTGGTACTCTTTGTTCCGTGGTTTTAAAGGGAAACCAAAAGGGTCTGTGAAATGGCGGTGTCTTTGTTTTGAGTTGCTAACCCCTTTTCCGTTTTAAAGAACCAAAGGGAACACCGAAACCATTTTCAAAGGCGCCCCCCCAAAGACACACCCAAGTCCGACTTGCCGAAAGTCTGTTATTTTCCTTGTGTGCAGATGCCGACCAGCATCTGAATCTCACTTGATCAAAGCGAGTCGACCTTTCGAGCTTCTTGGGCTCCAAATTTGTTTCTCAATGCTTAGTCATGGCCCCAGTCTGGTGATCACTTTTATTTCTTGGCCCGGGCAACTGAGACATGTTGTACATCTCTCCATGACTAGATCCCAATCTGCAGAGGATGTTTGTCTGGTCCTCCATCGGTACAGCGAAAATGACGGAACAGCGAAAATCGATGGATCGAGGGGCCGGAAGACCTGGAGAGGGTGAAGGAGATCCAACACGGGTACCAGGCGCTGAACCAAAACCAAAACCGCCTCGATTGGTTCGTCGGAGCGCTTTTGGTTCGCGCATGGGTCGTTTCCTTTTCAAGTTTTCAAGCACCCATTAGAAAAAACAAAGAAGTTTCAGGTTTTCAAGGATTCAATTTGGCTGGTACCCTAAGAAAGAGACATTCAACTCGAGATTTCTTGAGAGTATGGACAAAAAGTCGCATTGGCCAACCAAATCTCCATAGACAAACAGCCAAGGTGTTTGGGGGGGGGGTCGGGAGCAAACAAAAGACACTGTTGATATCAAACTATTAGCAGTGCCGTCAAATGGTTGCCTACCCCATGCAGAAGTTGTGACGAGAACGTGGAATCAACCCTTAGAGTATTTGCCAACCAAAAGGGGGGGGCGAACAAAAAAGACACTGTTGATACCCTAGTTGTTGTTCTTTTCTTTTTTAATGCACCACGTGGTTGACATTTTGAGTTGATGCCGCCAGATGGACCCAGTTGCCATGTTCAGCTGAGAGGGTTTAAAGCGGCGTTTGTGTTATCGCTTGCCTTTGAACAGCGAAAGGGGAACCCAAACATCAGCCCAAAGAGGGGTTGCATGTGTGTGTGTGTGCACCACCAAAATGGTGGTGTTCCTTCTTGGTCGCCCTTGAAAACCGCAAAATGGGGGCGGACTCTCAAACAAGACAGACGTAGTTGTTGTTGCGTTTTGTGTTTTGAACCGGGAGAGCCTCCTAAGCACAGGCATCCCCAGCAGCGAGAGCCCAAATCACTTCCTTGACCCCAAAGCCGAGTCTGAGGAGAGACGGCAACTAGGGCCGCAAGTCCAATGTTCAACTTCTGGAGCACACCACGTGCTACGAGTCACCATTGTACCTCTAGGCTTTAGCATGGTTTCTCCTGGGCAACCTAAAGAAAAGGCAATTCGAAGAGTGATTCTAAGTTTTGGACTACCTCAAAGTAGCCTTGAACCTAGGGGTGGTTGATTCCAGCAACAGGGAAGCCGGGGTGGAGTCTCCCTGGACGTCCAGAAGCGGAAATCTGAGGGACCTTTTTGCTCCTGTACTTAGATTGCGATAAGATAAGGCTTCAGCTGGATCGCTCCGAACGTGTCCACAAACGGAAAACCGCTGGTACACCAAGGCTTCCCCAGCGAATTCCCTCCAAATGTTGGGTCGTTCGATTGGGTTTTTCTCGGTTGCCCAGGGGATTCCGCCCTTTGTGCGTTCCTTTTTTGGGTTTCGGGTTCCGATTCCCAATCAACCAACCCACAACAAATCGGACACCGGAGGCCTTATTGCCGATGGAAATCCACCGGTACCGGTTGCATCTGAGACAACGGATGGTTTTCCACCCTTTTCTCCCACTTTCTTTGGGGGCAGGGCTCCCCTTGAACATGTCAGCCAAAAACGGACGCCGATATTTTGTCGCCCCCGGAAACTCCAATGCGATTGATTTAGTTGGCCTTCAAACAACCTGGTTGTGTCTGACCGGGTCCCAACCACCTCCGTGTCGTCTAACGGACGGGTCTTCCAATCCGAACGCCGAAGCCGATCGGAGCCTCCGGGCCTCGGAGCCTCCGGCGGCATCCGGTGAAAAAACCGGCGCTGAAACCCGGCTGGAGTCCTTTTGCCCAGTGGCTTCCGCCCTTGCTTCCCTTTTTTTGTTGGTTTCGGGTTCCGATTTTCTTGAAACTCAACCAGCCAAAAGCGGACGCCGTTGTCTTTTTCCCCTGAAACTCCACCGGCATCTGAAAAAACCGGCTGCAACCCGAGGCCTACACCTTGAGCGCCTTCCTGGGGAAGTTGGGCCATGAGGCAAGCGCCATCACCTGGCCCAAGTCCAACAAGGCGCTGACCGGCACCGTGAAGATGCCACGCGGCCCAGAGGGGGGAAAAAATGGAGCCGCACATGAGCCGGTTATGAGCCTGTATTGCTGTTGTTGTCTTATTTTCAGACATTTTTTTACGTGTTTGTTGTTTGCATCTCGGATTCTTTTGAGATCTCCAGCTGGGTGTAGGTCCCCCAGCTAGGTGCCATGTTTTTTCCGTGTTTTTTTTGGTTGGGAGGGTTCCCCTACTAAAATAGACTACAGAAAACAAGTTGGCACCCTTATTCTAACCTCTCTACCGGAGGAAGTAGAAAACAAAAACACGAGCCGCATATATATGAGCTGGTTATGAGCCTGTCTTGCTGGTGTTTTCTCATTTTCTGACTTTTATGTTTGTTTTTGTTGTTTGCATCTCGGATTTGTTTGAGATCTCAAGCCACAGGAGGTTTCATTATGGAGTAGTTACTCATGTCAGAATATATATATATATATATACATGTGCCGTTGTTTGTCTGAAACGGGCATCTATTGAAAAAATAAAACAATCACGCAAGGCACATGAGCACCGCACAACCTCCACTTCGTATGTCAGACAATGTGCTATGTTCTTTGGGGAATCCACGACTGGAGACGGAGGCGGCACGAGGCTGTTTGCCATGAACTGGGAAGGTGAAGGTGATCGGCTTTGCACCAAATCGCCACCCGGAAATGGAGAATTAGAACGACATCACGCGACCGAATTCACCCCAAATGGTGGTTTATGTGGGGAATAGCCCCCCACTTCCTTATTTCAGGCTGGTGAAATATTATGATTCAGCCACATGAATGAACGCCGTTACTCGCGTGTAGTGTGTTTCTTGTGAAGGAAACTAAGTTTACGCAGCGAAGATGTCCCTAACCTGGGCACAGACTTCCAAGAGTGTTCCGCGGGAGCAAGTGTTTGGGTTTCACGGGGCCTTGGAGGAAAGTTGGATTCAGCCCATTGGTTTCACGGTAAACAAACACGCCCCCACCAACAGATGCGGGATTGCTCAAAAGACTAGACACCAAACCAAATGGCAGTTTCAACTCTTGTGGTTTTCCTCGAAAACCAAGCCGTAGAGCTTTACCATCAAAACAATCCCAGTCCACTTCAGCCTGGCGCCCTCCAGCCGTTTTACTTGGCGGTTCCCAGCCGTCCATCTCCTTAGGTTTTTCGTTGGCTTAGTGTGGGTTTCTCTTTTGCAGGGGATCTGAGGACAGCCCAGTCCACGTTCCTTGGTCAACATGTTTCAACAAGCCTTTTCTCTCACTTTCCAGAGTGGGTTTCTCACTTCCTGAGTTCATGCACTGAACAATTTGTTGGGAAGACCATTTTAGCGGAAAGCAAAAACAGTTTGGACTATTTTTGGGCCATCCACTCGGGAAGTGAGATTTGTTTTTTCTTTTTCCTTTTTTTCTTTTTTGGCCGGGGGCTCCCTTTGAAGCCGCCTGTGTCGGAACCTTGTTCTGAGGTTCGAAATCCTCGACTTTGTGCTTTGCCTGCTGCCGGTGCATCCCAGCGAGCAGGACTTGCGCCCCGAAAGGAACTCACGCAGTGGGGCCTGGAGAGTGGGGCGGGAGGCGGGAGACCACATGAGCCACGTCCTCAAAACCCGGGTAGCTGCAGCTAGTTCGGGAAAATCCCAACCTTATCTTGAATTGCCTGGTTCTTGGATCTGGGTAGACCATTTTAATGCCAGGGTTTTAATTATGACTCAAACTAGCTCTTAAGCCAAGGCCTTATTTGGGCTCCCCGCTCCCTCCCCCCTCCTCCCGCCCCCTGATGAAGCGCAAGCACTGGGCCCAACTCAAGCTCACTTGCTCCCAGGGCGAATTGACCTGTTCAACCTTTGGTTTCCCTGACTTAAGTTCCCAAAGAGGTCAAGATAAGGGTGACCTCACATATTTCAACCTAAGGTGGGTTTATGGTGAGAAGCAGGTGACTCACATATTTCGTGAAGCTTCCAACACTTGTTTGGGAGCTCCCCTTCACAGTTCCTTCCATTTCGTGACTTCAAGGTTCCATCTGTGACCTGAAGCAGATTTCTCCCCTTCAGGTTCCATTTCGTGGAGCTCCCATCTGTGAGCTTTTTCACGCCTCTGAATGGCGATCGATCGCCTTTTCCAGGTCCGAACGATGGGCGTTGGGCGCTGATATGCATGGTCCGAATGATTTTGCCGCGGGGGTCGGTTCAAAATCGATGTCCTTTTTTTTTGGGGGGGGAACCTCCAAAAACCGGCGGTCGTTTACTGGGAACCACCAGCTGCCCCGTTGTTTCAGGGGGGGTTTAGTGACACCTGTTTCGAAGGGGGTATCGATTTGGTAGAAAGGTTTGGACTCTTTGTTGGGCAATCCACTCAGGAAGCGGATTTTGGGTGGTGTTCCGTTTTTGTCATCCTTCACAAACTTGTTGATTTGGGGTGTGCTTCTTTATTTCAGGACCCCCAACGGCCATCAAACGGCTTGTTGAGTGACTTGTTTCCGTGTTTTCTCGTTCAGGCGCTTTTGTTTGCGTCGATTTTCGGATTGGGATGGGGGGTTTAACGTGAGGGGATGTGACATGCCCAAAACGATTCGGGTAGATGAAGGTTAAGGGGCAGTCTCAACCAGAAACAGGTGCGGACATCCGCCTTGTCATTTCCTTGCATGGTTCGGGTAGACCATCTTAATTAAAACAGATCGGTGTTGATTGTGACTCATGTGATCCCTTTGCTTTCTTGCTGGGGGTGCAAGTCCTTCAGTGGCCCCAGAGCCACAGTCAAAACCCGGTAAGGGAAGATTGCTAGGGTGGGCAGTTCCAACTGCAAGTTTCCATTTGCTGTTCTTTGCCTCTTGGTTCTTTGCAATTGTTTCAACTGCCCTCAACTTGGGGCTCGTCTGTTTTCAGGTACTCCTTAGTTGGTGGTTTGGATTGGTGGTTTCGGGATTTGAACCACACTTCCTTTGAAGCCAAATAGAGAAGGTACCAAAGTGATCTTTTCGGATGAAGAAATCTTGGGGGGGGGGAACCCCGTACGAGGGAACTTTATGTATAATGTGAACGGGCCATTCGCCTTTTGATAACCAAGTCTTAGTTAAGAGAATTTTTAGAATTCTAGATGGTCCCAGCCCAGGAGGGGCCAGCCAGGACCTTTGATTTTTAGATTTTTTTAGATCTTTTAGAATTTTTAGAACTTTTAGAATTTTTAGAATTGAGCTCCAAAAATTCTAAAAATCGGACCCCCGAAATTTAGAATTTTTAGAATTCTTAGAATTCTAGAGGTCCCAGCCCAGGAGGGGCCCAGCCAGGACCTTTGATTTTTAGAATTTTTAGAATTTTTGGAACTTTTAGAATTTTTAGAATTGAGTTCCAAAAATTCTAAAAGTTCTAAAATTCGGACCCCCGAAATTTAGAATTTTTACAATTTTTAGAACTCAATTCTAAAAGTTCTAAAAATCGGACCCCGAAATTTAGAATTTTTAGAATTCTTAGAATTCTAGAGGTCCCAGCCCAGGAGGGGCCCAGCCAGGACCTTTGATTTTAGAATTTTTAGAATTTTGAGAACTTTTAGAATTTTTAGAATTGAGTTCCAAAAATTCTAAAAATTCTAAAAATCGGACCCCCGGAATTTAGAATTTTTACAATTTTTAGAACTCAATTCTAAAAAATCTAAAAGTTCTAAAAATTCTAAAAATTCTAAAAATCAAAGGTCCTGGCTGGGCCCCTCCTGGGCTGGGACCATCTAGAATTCAAAAAATTCTAAAAATTCTAACTTTCGGGGGTCCGATTTTTAGAATTTTTAGATTTTTTAGAATTGAGTTCTAAAAATTCTAAAAATTCTACATTTCGGGGGTCCGAATTTTAGAATTTTTAGAATTGTTGGAACTCAATTCTAAAAATTCTAAAAGTTCTAAAAATTCCAAAAATTCTAAAAATCAAAGGTCCTGGCTGGGCCCCTCCTGGGCTGGGACCATCTAGAATTCAAAAAGTTCTAAAAATTCTAAATTTCGGGGGTCCGATTTTTAGAACTTTTAGAATTTTTAGAATTGAGTTCTAAAAATTGTAAAAATTCTACATTTCGGGGGTCCGAATTTTAGAATTTTTAGAATTTTTGGAACTCAATTCTAAAAATTCTAAAAGTTCTAAAAATTCTAAAAATTCTAAAAATCGAAGGTCCTGGCTGGGCCCCTCCTGGGCTGGGACCTCTAGAATTCAAAAAAATCTAAAAATTCTAAATTTCGGGGGTCCGATTTTTAGAATTTTTAGAATTTTTAGAATTGAGTTCTAAAAATTCTATAAATTCTAAATTTCGGGGGTCCGAATTTTAGAATTTTTGGAACTCAATTCTAAAAATTCCAAAAGTTCTAAAAATTCTAAAAGATCTAAAAAAATCTAAAAATCAAAGGTCCTGGCTGGCCCCTCCTGGGCTGGGACCATCTAGAATTCTAAAAATTCTAAAAATTCCAATTTTCGGGGGTCCGATTTTTAGAACTTTTAGTTTTTTTAGAATTGAGTTCTGAAAATTCTACAAATTCTAAACTTCGGGGTCCGATTTTGAGAATTTTTTGAATTGAATTCTAAATATTCTCGAAATTCTAAATATGTGGGGTACAAATTTTAGAACTTTGGGACTTTTTTTTAGAACTCATTTAAAAAGCTTCTAAAAGGTCTAAAAATTCAACAAAGAAAAACTAAAAATCAAGGCCCCTCCTGGGCTGAGACCATCTAGAATTCTAAAAAATCTAACATAGAGTATTTTTTTGAGAGTTCAATTCTATAGTTTCAACATCAAAAAACATTGAGCATCCTGCACGCCCCTGGGCTAGGACGTGAAAGGCATGTCGCCCCCTTTGTTCGCCAGTAAGCAGAGAGGTTGGAAAGAGTGAGGAAGGGATGGGAAGGTGGAGGACATGCCTCTCACTAGCGTAAAAGGGGTAGGAAGAGAAATGAAAGATGCTTCTCTTTTTAGCTGTTGGATGGGGTGAAGGCAATTCACCCTTTCATGCTACTCCTTTCTCTTTTCCACGCCTTTACCCACAACCGCAAGTAGCTGTGTGTTGGATAAAGGCTTGGGAGACGAAGGATAGAGAGTGAGGGATAGAGATGAATGCTGGGCCAGCCCTCACAAGGCTTCTCTCTTCGTTCGTCCATCATTATCTCTTCATCCACATCCTTTATCTCTCCTTAAAGACCGGGAGACCACGCCTTTACCCACAACGGCAAGTAGCTGTGTGTTGGATAAAGGCTTGGGAGACGAAGGATACAGAGTGAGGGATAGAGATGAATGCTGGGCCATTATCTCTTCATCCACATCCTTTATCTCTCCTTAAAGACCGGGAGAGAAGATAGGAAAAGGACAGGCAATGGAGCTTCAGCTCGTCTCATGCCTTCGCCAGCTCTAGAGCCAACATAAGAGAGGGAGAAGGGGTGACATCTCTTTCTCTCACGTAGAGTCCTTGCCATTATTTCAGAATGAAGAAATGGCGTGGGAAGGCGCGTGAGAGGGAGATGACCAGCTCCTCCATCATTATCCTATCTGTTAGAGCTGTGGGGCCAACGGAGAGAGCAAGAGAAAGAGGGTCAACAGGTAAAGATGATTGGGGAAGAGATAGAGAGTGAACGGAAAAGCTGGGACAATAAGGACATTCCAGCTCGTCTAGCTTTCATCTACTTCCCTTCTCTTGACCTCCCTCGTTTCTGGGCAAGAGGTTGGGAAAGAGAAGCTGAATAGAGGTGAAGAAAGAGGAATTCATTTGTACTGCTGGAAAGAACTGGCCAGCGGATGGGATTTCCTCTGGCCACCTCTCACCTAATCACTTTACCTCTCTCGTCATCAATTTCCTTTCTCCTTTCCATTCTCACCGTTGCAAAGGCTAGGAAAGAAGAAGGGGTGAAGAGATAGGAGAGAGAACTAGAATGAAGAACCCAGATGACATGAAAGACGTTCTGGATTCTGTGACATGGTTAAGGGGAAGGAGATGTTGGTGATAGAGAAGGAGAAGGAGTTGCATTCCTTTCTCTTGCATACAATCCCCGCCACTCCAGAATTAAGAGATGGCAAGGGAAGGCGTGTGAGAGGGAGATGACCAGCTCCTCCATCATTATCCTACCTGTTAGAGCTGGAGCTGGGCAATGTCTCTTTCCACTACTTGTTGTGAACTCTAGGGGTCGCATGCCAGGTAAACGACCGGAGAGAGCGAGAGAGAGAGAGAGATGGAGGGCGGTCATATGATGGCTAATGAAAGAGAAGGCGCCATCATCACTCTCACTTTTTACCTCTCATTACCTACCTCCCATCATCTCTAGCTTCTAAATCTTGGATGTGGATGAGGGAGGAGATAGGATGAGAGGGAAAACGTGACAAGGTGAGCCCACCCACTCTCTCTTTCACCCACCTTTTTAATATCCTTGTCTCTCGCTTGCAGGTGATGATGAGTGAAGAAGCGAGCGAAGAGTCAGGGCAAGAAAGGAAGAGACAGGGAAAGAGATGTTACTATCATAAAAATGTTTCCATATTCTAAGAGTACAAATCAGAGACGCTTTATCATTTGAGATGCTTTCCATCTCTTGCATTCGCTTTCTCCATTCTATTTCCCTCTCATGTCACTCCCAAAGCTATTTAAAAGAGAACGGGAATGACAGGTAAAGATGATTGGAATTGGACAATAAGGACATTCCAGCTTGTCTAGCTTTCATTCACTTCCCTTCTCTTGACCTCCCTCGTTTCCAAAAGAAACTTATAACTGGGCAAGAGGTTGGGAAAGAGAAGCTGAAAAGAGGTGAAGAAAGAGGAGTTCATTTGTAACTGCTGGAAAGAATTTCTTTTCTCCTTTCCATTCTCACCGTTGAAACGGCTAGGAAAGAGATACGAAAGAGAATTAGAATGAAGAACCCAGATGACTAAGGAAACAAGATGGTTGGATGGCCATCCATCTCCTTGCCCACTCTCTCATCTCTTTCCCCGCCCCCACCTCCATCTCAGCTTCAAGGAAGCTGTAGGTGGTGAGGAATAGAAATGAAATATATTTCCCCATTCTCATCCATCTCCCAGCCAATGAAAATGAGGTGGGGGGATGGGGCCGTGAGATGGCCAATCAACGAGTTTTTTCCTCTCTCTCGCCCTTCTCTCCCTCTCTACCTCCCATCACCCAACCTCTGCTTCCGAGAAAAAGAGTTGGGGTGATAAAGGGAAACAAGAAGGGGGGAGAAATAAGCAATGGAGATTCCTTAGCCCACCCTTCCTTGAGATCTTATTGGTAGGCATTTCCTGTCTACAGACTCTCTAGACCCAATTATGAATTGATTATTGTAATCTACAGTACCAAGTCTTGGTTATTTCTGTATCACCTATTAATCACTTGTCTCTACTTTGCTCCATTGATAAGACTTCTGCAGTCCATGACATCAATAATCGCAAGGCAAGAGAAACACCAAGAGCTGAGAAAGATAATTAAATATGAGATACGCTAAAATAGATAAAAAATGTTGAATTGGAATTAGTTTCTGGATTGACCTGACCGTGCAAATCTGCGACGCTGCTATCCCTTTTTTCGCGCAGATCAAGTGGCAAGTGCTGAAAAAGGAGCCGGTTCACATTATACGCATTGTTCCCTGCCACGGGGGAACCCCCGCATTCTCTTGGGATGGCGACTCTATACCAGGGTTTGAGCAACTACTCACTCCCTGAGCTCCTGCACTTTATCAACTTCTAAAGGGCTTGGACCCCTGCGGCAAAACAACTGAAAAACCAGCCCAACTCACCTCCAAACCACCTCCAGGTTTAGCCTCACTCCGCAAGTCCCTGGACCTTGCGCTTGGGCGGTCCCATCCGCTGAGTTTTTGCCTCGAACCGGGGAAAGGAATGGTCATGAAGCAAGTAAGCCCAGCTTTGGGCGTGTTTTTTTAAGGATTCCCCCCCCCCCCCCATATGGCAGGTGTTCTTGCTGGTTTCCAGTTAAAGCCAACCAACAAGGGGTTCCTAAAGAAAGACAGACCTATTTAAGAAGTTCACAACCTCCTGTTCAACCAAATAGAGGCGGCAAGCAGATAGCAGCAACTGGCTCGCCAGTTGGGCTTAGTTTCGACGAGGCGCGATAACTTCCTAAAGATGGGCATTGGCAGTGGCACCTTCCAGGAGGGGGTTCATGGAATGGGGGGGGGGGCGGCTGGGTGATGATGTTATTCTTCTAGGGCTACCTTCCCCATTCTTTCCAGAAATCCTTCTTTTCAAGAAAGCATCAATGACCCAGGGAAACAGCTGGTTTTGGAAAAGAACGATGGTTGAAAAGAATGCAAAAGGAATCAACCCCTAGAATTATGCTGGCCATCTGGACCACAAATATGAATGGAATAAAATAGCTGTGACTCGAGGAGAAACAGAAGCAAGTAAGTTTGAACGGGAGCTGGTGCACACAAAATGGAGCATTGCAGGCAAGCCACAGGCAAGTTCCACAGCCGGAACAAACCCCAGAAATCGTAAGCTCGGGTTACTGAGCTGCAAAGCCAGTGACATAGTAGCAGCTTATTTGGGTGGGTTTTCTTTCAGCGGATTTCGCAAAAACGTCGGTTTTCCCATTGTTTCCCTTGAACGACAATGGAATGAACTCAAGAGCCGGATGTTCCCTTCCCCTGGGCTCAGTTCAAGTGGATGTGCCCTGGGTGTTCCTCCGGCCATCCCCTCGGGTTTTCGCTTAGGGTTTGGTGGCAGTGCTTGGGCTCGGGGATCAGAAAAAACGAACAGCCCAGATGTGTGGAGCCCAGATTTGCGGAGCATCCTCTTGCGAGCGATGTTGAGTTCTGGAGTCCGGCTTTTTCCCAAAGATGGGACCTTAGACATTTTCCGGGACCGCCGGGGACCTGAACCCCTACGGAGACAAGGTGAAGAGGTGACAGGGGTTCCATCCATATTGTAAAGCCGCTACTGCCAATGCGCTGGTTTGGTTGTTTCGTCACTTTTTTGGGCGCCAAAACCGTGCTGGAATAAATGATTCCGCTCACCACCGGAAGACCCGCTGCGGCAATTCTGTGGTGAGCTCACCTTTCTACGGTGAAAAAGAGCTCACATGTCTACGGTCCGTTTCTGGGGGCTCTCTTATCGTGGCTGTTGGCAATTTCTTCTGGGCATGTTTTGCCAAAAATGCCCGAAGGACTTTCTTTGAGAACCCAAGTGCAGAATGGACACCATAAGGGGGGTCCCTTGGTTTAGTGGGGAAGTCCACTTTGGGAGGGCCCCAAAATCCCATATAACCTAACTGGGATTGAATCCGGGGTCAACATTACTCAACCAGACATGGGTACTTTGCCTTGACTCCTTTTAAAGTGCTCTTTAATTCCCACCATTTGTTAAAGGATTACTCTTGGCTCCAGGACCGCCATGAAGTCTCCTCCAGAATTATGATCTACTTGAGACAACAACATATGCAGACTCTTGGGCGAAGAATTGAAGGACCAGACATCTTTTGACCAACTAATTGGGTGCTCGGCCTAGTTAGGGTTTCTTACTGAGTTGGGGATTGTTCATCCCCTTCGAAGCTTCACCCCACATTCACGGGGCATTGAATTTGTATAGGTTATCTAGGTCCCCCAGTAGTGCCTTTTTACCCTTTTTTGGGGGGAGGGTTCCCCTGCTGAAATTACCGGAAACAACTTGGGTACCCTTATTCTAACCTCTCAAATCTGGAGGACCTAGTTGTATCCAAACGGCTTCCGCCACAACTTGGCGAATCGCTCACCCAAGTACTGCCCCCGCTTTTGGGAGGTGTCGGAGGCCAACCAAAGTGCCCTGGAGCTTGGCATCAAGGATGCCTGGGCCGAGTATGACGAGGCGCCTTTGGGGGGAAGGGGACGCGGAATGGGGGGACGTTTTGGCGGGGGGGGGGTCCCGCAAGAAACCTTCGTTTGGCCTTGTTTGTTTTTTTTTTTGGGGGGGGTCCTGCCAGAAACCTTTGTTTGGCCTTGTTTTTGTTTCTTGTTTTTTTTTGGGGGGGGGTCCCGCCAGAAACCTTTGTTTGGCCTCGTTAGCTTTTTTTTTTGGGGGGGGGGGTTCCCGCCAGAAGCCTTTGTTTGGCCTTGTTTGTTTTTTTTTTTGGGGGGGGGTTTCCTGCCAGAAACCTTTGTTTGGCCTTGTTTTTGTTTCTTGCTTTTTTTTGGGGGGGGGTCCCGCCAGAAACCTTTGTTTGGCCTCGTTAGCTTTTTTTTTTGGGGGGGGGGGGTTCCCGCCAGAAGCCTTTGTTTGGCCTTGTTTGTTTTTTTTTTGGGGGGGGTCCTGCCAGAAACCTTTGTTTGGCCTTGTTTTTGTTTATTGTTTTTTTTTTTGGGGGGGGTCCCGCCAGAAACCTTTGTTTGGCCTCGTTTTCTCTTTTTTTTTGGGGGGGGGGTCCCGCCAGAAACCTTTGTTTGGCCTTGTTTGTTTGGACCGTTTTTTTGGGGCGGGGGTCCCGCCAGAGACCTTTGTTTGGCCTCGTTTGTTTGAACTTGTTTCTTTTTTTTTGGGGGGGGGGTCCCGCCAGAAACCTTTGTTTGGCCTTGTTTGTTTTTTTTTTTGGGGGGGGTCCTGCCAGAAACCTTTCTTTGGCCTTGTTTTTGTTTCTTGTTTTTTTTTTGGGGGGGGGTCCCGCCAGAAACCTTTGGTTGGCCTTGTTAGCTTTTTTTTTTGGGGGGGGGGGTTCCCGCCAGAAGCCTTTGTTTGGCCTTGTTTTTTTTTTTTGGGGGGGGGTCCTGCCAGAAACCTTTGTTTGGCCTTGTTTTTGTTTCTTGTTTTTTTTTGGGGGGGGTCCCGCCAGAAACCTTTGTTTGGCCTCGTTTTCTCTTTTTTTTCCCGGAAGCATTGCGAAGGGTTCTTCTTCTAAAAGCGGCTGCCAACTTCACCTGCCAACTTCTCATGCCAACTTGTCGAGAGTTACTTCACCTGCCAACTTCTCATGCCAACTTGTCGAGAGTTACTTCACCTGCCAACTTCTCATGCCAACTTGTCGAGAGTTACTTCACCTGCCTACTTCTCATGTCAACTTTTTGAGAGTTACTTCACCTGCCAACTTCTCATGTCAACTTTTCGGCTGTTATCTCATTCTACTAAAAGCACAAGCTAATTTGTCGGGTGTTACTTCACTATCCTAAAAACACAAGCTAACTTTTCTGTTCTACCTTCACTTCTCGACTCTTAATTCTTCTTCTTTTTATGGCGGGGGTAGGCCCGACGGGAGCTTACGAAACGCACCCCTCTGCGGAGATCGTGCGTGTCGAAGCGCTCTCGCTGTGGCGCCGTGCGAATTTGTCTTGACCTTGGCGAACCCTCTGCGGAGATCGTGCGTGTCGAAGCGCTCTCGCTGTGGCGCCGTGCGAATTTGTCTTGACGCGGCGAACCCTCTGCGGAGATCGTGCGTGTCGAAGCGCTCTCGCTGTGGCGCCGTGCGAATTTGTCTTGACCTTGGCGAACCCTCTGCGGAGATCGTGCGTGTCGAAGCGCTCTCGCTGTGGCGCCGTGCGAATTTGTCTTGACCTTGGCGAACCCTCTGCGGAGATCGTGCGTGTCGAAGCGCTCTCGCCTGTCTTGTCGCGGCGAACCCTCTGCGGAGATCCTGCGTGTCGAAGCGCTCTCGCTGTGGCGCCGTGCGAATTTGTCTTGACCTTGGCGAACCCTCTGCGGAGATCCTGCGTGTCGAAGCGCTCTCGCTGTGGCGCCGTGCGAATTTGTCTTGAGCCCGATGAACCCTCTGCGGGAGATCGTGCGTGTCGGAGCGCTCTCGCTGTGGCGCCGTGCGATTTTCTTGCTCGCGAAACGGCTTTTGGAAGTTGTCTCGTGGTGCGCGCGCCTGCTTTCGCAATCCCGCGGTCCCGGGTTCGATTCCCCCCTGGTCCGCGGCAGCTCCGGCTTGAAAATCGCAGCTTTTAAGTACAAACGTAGTACGCGGAGCGTGCTCCTGCAGCTCCGGCTGGAAAATCGCAACTTTTAAGTACAGACGTAGTACGCGGAGGCTGCTGCAGCTCCGGCTGGAAAATCGCACTTTTTAAGTACAGACGTAGTACGCGGAGCGTGCTCCCGCAGCTCCGGCTGGAAAATCGCAACTTTTAGATACAAATGGCTGGAAAATCGCAACTGTAAATTGCAAATGTAGCACGCGGAGCGCCTCCGCCGCTCCAGCTTTTTGAGGGTTAATTACTTCACCTGCCAGTTTCTCATGCCGAAACTTCGAGAATTACTTCACCTGCCAGCTTCTCATGCCACCTTTTCGAGAGTTACTTCACCTGCCAACTTCTCGTGCCAACTTTTCGAGGAGTTACTTCACCTGCGAGCTTATCATGCCAACTTTTCGAGAGTTACTACACCTGCGAGCTTCTCATGCCAACTTTTCGAGAATTACTTTACCTGCCAACTTCTCATGCCAACTTTTCGAGAAATACTTTACCTGCCAACCTCTCGTGGCAACTTCACCTGCCAACTTTTCGAGAATTACTTCACCTGCCAACTTCTCATGCCAACTTTTCGAGAAATACTTTATCTGCCAACCTCTCGTGGCAACTTTTCGAAAAATTACTTCACCTGCCAGCTTCTCATGCCAACTTTTCAAGAGGTACTTCACCTGCCAACATCGCCTGCCAACTTTTCGAGAGTTACTTCGCCTGCCAACTTCTCGCGCCAACTTTTCGAGAATTACTTCGCCTGCCAACTTCTCATGCTAATTTTTGGAAAGTTACTTCACCTGCCGGCTTCTCACGCCAACTTTTCGAGAGTTACTTCACGCGCCATCTTCTCGTGCCAACTTTTCGAGAATTACTTCACCTGCCAGCTTCTCACGCCAACTTTTCGAGAGTTACTTCACCTGCCAACTTCTCATGCCAACTCTTTGAGAGTTATTTCACCTGCCAACTTCTCATGCCAACTTTTCTCTTGAGTTACTTCGCCTGCCAACTTCTCATGTCAACTTTGCGAGAATTACTTCACCCGCCAACTTTGCCAGCCAACTATTCGAGAGTTACTTAACCTGCCAGCTTCTCATGCCAACTTTTTGAGAATTGCTTCGCCTGCCAACTCCTCATGCTAACTTTGCGAGAGTTACCTCACCTGCATCAACTTGCCTCTATGCTTCCGGGCCACTCGTCGTCTAGTTTTGGGGGGGGGTCCCGCCAGAAACCTTTGTTTGGCCTTGTTTGTTTGGACCGTTTTTTTGGGGCGGGGGTCCCGCCAGAGACCTTTGTTTGGCCTCGTTTGTTTGAACTTGTTTCTTTTTTTTTTGGGGGGGGGTCCCGCCAGAAACCTTTGTTTGGCCTTGTTTGTTTGCACCTTTTTTCTTTGGGGGGGGCGGGTCCCGCCTGAAACCTTCCGCGGTGAAGCCTTTGTTTGGCCTGGTTTGTTTGTTTGTTTTTCTTACACTGATTTTACTCGCATTTTACTATTGAGGCCCATGTAGGATCCCTGAAGTCAGGTGGGCAAAATCAGATTTGGCGTGGGGATTTCGTCGGTTTGTTGATGGCATGCGGGGGGGTGGGGGGCCTTGTGGAACAACTCGGACTTGGTGCCCGTTGGCACCAAAGGGAAGCGTGGTTCACGTAAACCTTAGACTCACTCCTTGAGTTCCCAGACTTTAGATGTGTTGGGAAGACCAGTTTAGTGGTAAATAAGAAGTTTGGACTTGTTTTGGCCAATCCACTCAGGAAGTGAGAAGTTGAGTAGTTGGTGGTTTGGAGTGGTTTGAATTTGGATTTGAACCCCTGGTTCGTGTAGAGGGTAAATGGGAACCCCCTCCTTAACCACCAAACCGCCAATGCAAACCACCAATTGGGGGGGGGGGAGCTGATGGTTTGAAGTGATACGATGTCCACGTGAGAATGGGAGTTCCACGTGGCAGAAGTGGATTATTTTTCCGGAATCATGACTTGGCTGTTCCACAAGACGTCCGGTTCGCTAGGTTTTTGGGCATTTTATGGTTTAGAATAGTAGTTCCGTTTAAGCCAGTGAAGTTATTCACACTCAGCAGGCAATCCGAGTCGGACAGCCCAGCCCAACTTTGTTTGTTTTTCGTTGCTCCGAGCCATTCCGAAAATATGGCGCACCACAGCCCAATGGCAGGAAGAAGCCTCGCCTTTTTTTTTGCGAGATGCCCTCAGGAAAAAAAACAAAAAAACATGTTTCTGCCGTGCTGATCGGGTCGTTGGAGCCATGTGACGGAACATTATGCCCTGTCATTTGGGAGCTGATCCCAGTTCTTCAGTGGACTCCATCCTCGAGAGACCATCCTCGAGAGACTTTTTGTTTTTTTTTCTTTTCGGTGGGTTTCTCAGAGTCGCTATTCAGCCTCGAAATCCACCCATTCCACTCGCCCAACCCCAAAAAAGGGCTCCAGCAAATGTCCCGGACTTTGGGGTTCCCGTGCTCCATGCATACATGTCACTTGCATCTCTCCCTCCACCATATACATGATACCATTTCATCAAGAAAAGCTACCCTCCAAGAGAATGTCGAGCAGACATCAAATGGTTGGTGTTTGTGTGTGCGTGAGTGTTGTGGGTGTGTGAGTGTGTTTTTATCGCGGGCATGAGAGCAGTGCAATATAGAAATATGTGTGTACATACAACTGCAAATTGTTCCACATATTTCTGTATATGCATACATTATGTATGGTGAATCACATATATATATATATATATGTATTGGGTCGCTTCCCGCCGCCTTCGGTCTTCCCCCGTTTGTTCCGACTGAACCAAAGCAGGTCATCGAGCAGGGCATCGCGCGGGGCCTGGTGACCAGCGCGGAGCTCTTCGGCACCCGAGGCTTCCTGAAGAATCAGTACATCAAGCGCTTCGGGGGCGCCAAGCCGCGCGAAGGCAAATGGGTGTGTTGTTTGGTGTTATTGTTTTTTTTGTTGTATTATATATGTATAAAGGGGTATGGGCTTGTAAAGCAGTACTCGTACCCCTTTTTCAAGTGGTGTGTAACCTCCATACCTCTAAAAACCCATACCTGAAAACGCCTTTGATAGAGGACCCCTCCCTAACACGAACAGTGGGGTGTTTTGGGTTTTCCGTTCAGACAACATCAAGACAGGTAGCCTCAGAACAAACACACACACACACACACAGAGGCACCTACACGCAGGGACACGTACAGAGACACACACACAGCACAACAGAACAGCACACCGAACCACACCACACCACACCACACCACACCACACCACTAATTACATCATAGCACACTACCACACCACACACACACAAACACCACACTGCACAGCGCCGCAATGCACAACACGCCACACTACACACAAACACACACACACAGACACAGACAGACACAGACACAGACACAGACACACACACACACACACACTCTCAATTTCCTTGGGGCAGGGGTGATCATTTGAGAAACATAGACAATGACAAGGGTTTCTTTGAAGCGAACCATGAACAGGGCCCGTGTGCTGAGTTTTGATCAAGGCACCTGTGGTCGGGACGATTCGGGACGCGAGGGTATGTGCAGTCCTAAGGTCCCCAAAGGTTCTTTTACTGGGTTTGTAACCCCCGCCAAACAGAAGAAATGAGACGCGACGAATGGCTAATTGATCAGAGGTCCGCAAAGCCCTACACCCAGCGGGTTGTTAGCAGTTTTCAACTTGTTTGGAGGCGCTGCCCTAGAAGTTCAACTACAATAAGAGTGACTAAGGATAAGGCCCCTACGGGACCAGTGGGGTCATGGTTATATATAGTTTGGACTACCAGGGGGACTTAAAGGAGATGAAGTCTCTTAAAGTGGATGCTGGCATGTCAAGTAATTCTCAAAACTACTCTTGGATTTCCCCTGAAACCACCGAAAAAACCAAACATCAATTTGTCAAAAGGGTGGGTTGTCTTAGGCGAGCGGGTTTGATCTAAGTCTTCTGACCCTTGAACATGCCTCTTCTATTCTTCCATTTGCTGGACTGAATATGTTTGTTTGTTCCCCCTGTTGGTTTCAAGGGAGATTGTCACTACTGGACATATGTTCTCCCATTTTTTCCGGACCAAACAGCGAACGCCGGATTATTTTGAAGTGAGGCCCCCCCCAACAAGTTGTTTTTTTCCTCTCACCCGGAACCCACAAGGTGAGTTTCAACGCAAGTTGTTGCGGGATGTTGCTTTCTCGTTGGAAGCGCACGGGGCGTATTTTGAGACACTCGTGTCGAGCGATCTCTGAGGGTGGGCCTCTATGGCAACTCCCGGGAGGAGGCCTTTTATCCCTTCTACAAGATGGCCGATGCTTGCACCAAAGTTTGGTGTTCACTGCTCCGAATGCGTTTGGAGGGTAACGGGTACTGGGGTGATCGATTCGCCAAGTTAGTAAGTTGTTGGTAACCCAGGTTATCACCCAGTTGTAAGTCCCCTTTGAATGTGGTGTGAACCTTGTTTTTGGAGGTAACAGGGTACCGTACGGACACTCAAACCAGTTTGAACAAATGGAAATAGCGCTATAATGTTGGGCTGCAATCACCAATTTTTACTGGTAGTTTGAACCCAACAAACCCCGTTGAACGGATACCTGAACAGAGGAAGGCAAGTGGGGGTGGAGGGGCGAGGGGTGTTCAGGACATTGGGGGAAGGGGATGAGATCAAAAACAGCCTTCTTTGGGAGCTCATGCGGTGGGTCGGATGAATTCATACAGACCGCTTATTTTTATCATGGCTGTCACCCCGCCCCCCCCCAAACAAACAAACAAACAAACAAACCCTACTTGGGTGTTCGGCTTAGCCACTTGGGTTTGTTCACCTAGCAAGTTGTTTTTCACCCCACATTCACGCGGGAGTTCGTGGGTAACCGAGTTCGGTTACCGTTACAACTTACGAACTTGGCGAACCCAAGTAGGGATCAACCCATTTCTGAGGGAGGTCGGATCACTTTTGCATTTTGTACCTCGTAAATCCGACAGGTTTGTGACAAATGATCGTCCTCAAACAGCAAACGGACGGAGTTCTTTTTACCCTGACCAGGGGCCCCGTCCACAGATCTTGGCCCGCTCAAAGCCAACCTTTTGGCCGTTTGGTTTTCCCATGTTGGTCTAATTTTTGGTAAAGGTCCTGCACACCTTTAATTTCCAGGTCTCAACTCGGCAAGTGAGGCTTAAATATTGGCAGTGAGAACACCCTCCACACCCTCCACACCTCCAGCCCACATCTTTGGAGCAACCGTGTCTTTAGGCCTTGTTTGTTTCTCAGGAACCCCATCCTTCAACGGGCTTGGCCCTAGACCAACCCCGCAACAAGCAAGTCAAACCAGCCTCCTAAAAGGTCTCCTACGCTTCGCCAAGTGAACGTAACCTTGAAAAATGTGACCGTTCGGTTGTAACTCACTTGCCAGTCCCTCGGTTCAGTGGGCTGAACAACTTGTTAGGTGATCAACACTTGCTATGGCAACAAACATGCGAGAGGGTTGCCAAGGCTTGGGTGATGCCAATTTCAACTTCTACTCCTTTCGGTGGTTGGAGCCTTCGCGCGAACCCACCCGTTCACCGAGCCCAAGCCGAGCCCAAGCCGAGCCCAAGCCGAGCCCAAGCCGAGCCCAACCCGTTCGAGTTAGGACGGGCAACCGCTGGACGCCTCCAAGTCCTCCTACCAGCTGGTGCTGAGCAAAGAAGACCAGGAGATCGCCAGGCCTCCAATTTCGATGTCGCCGCGCCACCCAGACGCGCGGTTGCGACGTCACAGGAGATTCCGAAATCTTAGGTCTTAGGAGTCCATTTCGTATTTTGGTTGGTGAAGTACTACCTTTTGTCAAATACAACCTTAGAGAGAGAGGAGAGAGAGAGAGAGAGACAGAGAGAGAGAGAGAGAGAGCGAGAGAGAGAGAGAGAGAGAGCCAGAGAGAGAGAGAGAGAGAGCGAGACGTTAAAATCAGTTGTTACTTTGCTTACAAGTGCAAGTGTAGTAATGTTCAAACAAACAGTCAACCAATGTAGTCTGCAGCTGCCAACCTTTTGACTCATGCGGAGTAGTAAGCTCAAGGCGTGCGGTAGTGAACATACATGCAACACCAGTGCAGCCCCTCAGTTAAAAGGTCTTTGTAGTACCTTTTCAACTGAAGTGCAAAACATGGATTGACAGTAGTGATGAAAACCATTGTTGTTCATCAGTTCTACTGTATTGACAAAAGTAGTGACCTGCGCTCAGTAGTTCACGCTGTTCAGGTTCCAGCTCGATGTAGGGCGCTGGACGGAAGTAGTGAGGCAGGCACTCGTTGTAGTAGAGCAGGACCTCAAGAATGTAGTCCCCATTTCTGGGTGCGGTAGGCTTGGACCATCTGTAGTCGACTGTCCAAGGTCGCGTAGTAGTTGGTGGTGAAAAAGGTTGTCATGTAGTTTGGAGCTCCCCGTAGTCGCTCATCATCTATCTCGGGACACGACATGTGTTGGTCGTAGTCCCGTAGAAAGCGGTGTAGTAGTGCTTTGTGGTGTTGTGTGAGGTTTGTCATTGTGAGTAGTGTGAATCCGTAGTATTGGATGCTTTTGCAGAGGATAGTAGTAATTGCTTTGTGCTGGAAGTCGTGTAGTTGGTCTCGGTTGTAAAGGTAGTGGAGTAGTTCGGGTAGAAGTAGTGGCATGTGGTAGTTCCAAACGTAGTGGTTCCTGAGGCTGTAGTTGTCAGTGAAGGTGGTCATGTTGTAGTTCACCTTGTAGATGGTCTGTGGTAGTAGTTATGTTGTACCGACATCATGTAGGAGATGTAGTCTCTTGTGAAGTGTAGAAATTGTCCTGAAGTGAGGTACCTCAGGAGTAGTGGTTGTTCAATCTGGAGTTGGATGATGACGTAGTTGGTGTTGTCGCCAGTTGTAGTGTGGAGTGAAGTCGTGTGGTAGCAGTGGACGTTGGCTGCTTCAGGTAGTGAAACGCTGAGCAGTGTGGAGTTGTAGTGGGGCATCCGAAGATCTCCAGGGATGCAGTGAATGGGTCGAGTGTAGTCCAGTTGTGCCAGTGGAGTAGCTTGTTGTTGTGAAAGTAGTTGATATTCTTCAAGTGTAAATGCAGTGAAAAATTGGGTGTAGGGAATGTTGTCGGGCAGTGGTGGTGCAGTGGTTGTCTGGTGCTCAGTGATGTGTAGTTGGTCCATCACTGTGGTCGGGTTGTAGTAGACGGTGTTGCCGGGTGTAGAATGGTTGAAGTGGTAGTTGGAGTCGTTGTAGGTTTGAGGTGGTGGAGTTCCGTGGTCACTGGAGACCGTAGTGACCGCCACCTCAGGTGTAGTTGCCCTGTCGGGCGTAGTGGCGTCTCCCATCGTAGCATCTGCAGTAGATGGAGCGGCCATGGCTGCAGTGGAATGCAAAATGTAGTGAAACGGGGCAAAAACAAATGAGCCTAAGTAGTTGCTACCAGGCAGTCGGCGAATGCAGACATATGAAACAAACAACTGTAGTGTTGACTCAAGCCGCCAAAAGTGCAAGTGAAAGTACATGTAGTTACTGTTACTTACATACCAAAAGTGTCGTGTTACATGTAGCTACTTACATACATGAAATGTCCAAAGTCGTTGTTGTTGTTGTGAAACTGCTGTGCTGGTCGTTCGTAGTGCTAAATGCGTATTCCAATGCTCTGGATGAGCCTATGTAGTGTTTCTTTGCTGATGTATTTGGTAAACAAATCTGCGCTGTTGTGGAGTGTGTTGATCTTAAGGATTCTGATGATGTCGTGCTTGATGAGGTCTTGTGTGTAGAGGAATTTGAGGTCGATGTGTTTTGCTCGTTTGCTAGTGCCTTGTCGTGTAGCAATGCTCTTGCCTGCTGTGGAGTCTGTGTGGATGCGTAGGTTTTGCTTGCTGCAAATGTTGGTTTCAAGTAGGAAGTTTCTGAGGTGTAGTCCCTCATTAACTCCTGTGCAAATGGCGTAGAGTTCAGACTCTGCTGAGCTGAGTGCTATTGTAGCTTGTGTTCTGCTGCCAAATGCAACTGTTGTTCCTAGAAAGATGATGTTGAAACCTGAAGTTGATTTCCTGGTAGTAGCAGTAGTTGTGTTTCGTCGTAACCTTCGTTGTCGAAGATTATGGGTTGGTCTTCTGAGGTGTCGTCGTTTGTGTAGGGGGTGATGGATTTTCCGTTGGGAAGTGTCACTGCGCTGATTTTCTGTCGTAGTGGTGGTGGTTCTTTGGTTGCTTGCTCCGTTGATCTGATTGTAGTGTCCTTTGAGGCCTTCTGTGCTTTAGTTGGTTGCATTACTTCTTCCGGAGTTAAACGTCGTAGTGTTTGTCGAGGTGGTGCTGGTAGTGGTGGGTGTTGCCGTCCGGTTGGTGAAGTAGCCATATGACTATCCGGTAGTGGTCGTGAACTTGACGTCGATGTGGACGGAAGTCGTGGAGGTGGTGTAGCGCGTTGTTGTTTTGTTGCGGGTTCCGCAACGATGTCGTCCGTAGCGTTCGTTTGTTGTCCGAAATCTTGCGTGGACCTTCTTTTCTCTGACGGTTGTAGTTGCGTATCCAACAGTGTTGCGAACGATGGGTTGTAGGTGTTCCGTCGTGGTGCCCATGGTGTGCCGGAAACTTTGTTCAACAGTGCGAGGTCGTATTTGAAGTCCGGTTGTAGTCTCCGTACTGTTCGTACCTTTTGTACGCCTGATTCCGTTGCGACGTAGTTTTCTCCGGTTTCGGAAACTTTTCCGAGCCAGATGCATTTCTGCATCCGTAGGTCTGCTTTCGGAAGTTTCTTGTGTTGTGGTGGAAGGTAGAGTAGTGTCTCGCCAAATTCGCAGATTGCTCGCTCGTAGTTTCTTCCCCAGCGGCGTTCAAAGCTTGTGTAGCCGTCTGAGTGGATGACGTAGCGATTTACCGTCCATGCTGCATGTCGTACTATCCAAGGTAGTAGACAGTGCTTTGTGGACATCGTCATGCTGTAGTTGCTTTCAACCTGAGCTTTGACGACGCGGATTTGTCCGAGAAGTGTTCTATGTAGTCGCTCAACGCTTCCTTGACTGTTGCTGCTGTAGGAAGGTGAATGTCGTACACTCATTGTGCCGACTTTTGCTGCTGTAGCTTTTAGAAGTGCGTTGAGTGTGTCTTCGTTGTCGCTTTGTAGTATGCCTTGTGTTCTTCCGCACTCAAAGATGAATGCTTGTAGGTTGTTGATCATGTAGTCCATCATTGATGATTTGTCTGGAACCAATACTGCCATACACAGTTGTGTAGTAACATCCACTGCTGTCAGTACTGGTGTGGTCTTTGGGTCTTGTTGTGACTTGATGTAGGCAAAGTCTACTTGAATGACAGGTTGTCGTGATTGTTGTTTCTTGTAGTTGTCTTGGCGTCCTTTGCCTTGAACGCAAATTGGACACCAGTTTCTGTATGGTAGATGTGTAAGGTTGTGTTCTGCTATTTGTTGTGGAGTGGGCTGCTGTGGTTGTCGTAGTCCTCTTGCTCTGTGTGCTTCATGATGCTCGTGTTGTTGTTCTTCATCGTGGTTCTCCTGGATGTACTCGTAGTCTTTCTTCACGGTGAACCTTGTTGTTCCTTTCCATTGAAATGGTAGTGCTGCGTTGCCCACGACTGTCCAGTCATCTTTGCGTTGTGAAACTTCTCCAAAGTTGTTGTGAGTGATTGTAGTTCTGTGAGGTTCAAGTGTGTTGATTGGTGGATGTCCTGGTCCATCTGTTGGAGTGAAGAGAGTTGTTCTAAGCGTTGTGTGGTGTCGTATCCAATGTTCACCTTGTCTTTCCCAGTAGTCTTGGTTGTCCTCCTGTGCTGTGAGTGGTCTGTGTATTGTCTCCTTTGGTTGTGTGGTGTCAAGGTTTGTGGAAGGTGCTGCTTTGGGTCTCCATATCTTTTGTGGTGCTCGTAGTTGGATCTTTGATCTGGTTGGTGGTGTGTCCATTAGCCGTTGTGGTTGTGAGCTCTGCCTTGTTGGTGTGGTCTTTGATGTTGCTCTGCGTGTAGGTGTTATCTTTCTTCTGAATCTGGTTTCTCCAGTCCAGTTGTCACCTTCTAGTCTTCGTTGTAGTTCTTGCTTGGAAAGTTGTGTTGGGTTCTCTTGTAGTTGTTCTTGCTCTTGCCCTTGTCTGTTGATGATGGTTAGTCGCCAATCATCTAGTTCTCCTTCTGGTATTGGGCAGCCACTGTTGTGTGGTGTGAACAGTGCTTTGCGTGGTCGTTTGTGTACTCTGATGGCGTAGTCACCATCAAGTTTCCAGTAGTCAGTGTTTCCACCAAGGATCTGTCGTAGTCCTTGGTCTGTGTGTGTGAGTGGTGCGATTTGTTCTTGTTGTTGTACTGCTTTCTCTGTAGGTCGAATCACAGCAATGGGTTTTCCATTGTCTGTAGTCATTGGGTAGATGTCGAATCCTGTAGGCATGTCGATCTTCTCTGCTCGTAGGTAGAAAAGTCCTGAGTGTCTTATGAGGTGTGCTTGTTGTTGTCCATGTGTGATGGTGCAGTGTCGTGGAGTGAAGTCAAGTCCATATCCTCTATCAAGTAGTCTTGATGCACTGAGGATTGGATACTTCACATCACAAACGTAGTAGGGTATCATGATCCTGAAGTTGTCCTGCTTGTAGGGAACGTACTTGATGCCGTAGACTGGAATCTTCTTGTTGGTAACCGTGTAGAGTTGTGGAACTGATTCTCCACAAGGTCGTAGTGGAAGATCCGGTGCGTAGTCCTTTGGGCAAACATGTGTAGATGCTCCTGAGTCGATCAACAGGTGGTGATATGACTTGAAGTTGGAGCACATGATGTAGTGGGTGATAGTGTCCTCAATCTTCTTGTTCCTTTGTTGTTGTCTTGCTGCTGCTATGTCGAAGTGTAGCTTTGTGGTGTCTTCTTGCAGGATTTGTTGAAAGCTCTTCCTTTTGTCGTTCCATGATGTTGTGTGTGTTGTTCTCCTGCCAAGTAGTGATTTGGATTTGTGCTTGTGTAGTCGTGATTTTGCTTGTCTGATGTGTCCAATGGTGAGGTGTGACTCGTTGATGCCTCCAATGTAGTTCGCTGTGTCCTCATAGCTGTTGTCATTCCAATCCCAGCTGTTGTCATAGTCGTAGTCGTTCCAGTTCTCCTCCATGTAGTTCACCTCGTGTTGTCCTTCTTCTCCTTCGTAGTACCAGTCCCAAGTGTCGTTTACATCCTGAGGTAGTTCTTCATGGTTGTCATGATCTGCTTGTTCTTGTTCTAGTGGATGTAGTTCTTCTCCTTCTCCTATGTGCCATACCGGCACTCTGCAGTCTTGTGCCCAGTGGCCAGGCTTGCCACATCGATGGCATGTTGCTGTAGTTTCCTTGGCCTTTGTAGCCTTTGCTTGATCCATATCCTTTGGATCCTGAGTAGCCTTTTCCTTTGCTCTTGTTGTATCCTCCTTTGTTGTAGTTTCCTTTGCTGCCTTTGTCGAATCCTTTGTAGTGCCCTTTACTCCTGTACTTGCCTTTGCTCTTGCTTCCTTTGTAGCTGCCTTTTCCTTTTCCTTTGCCTTTGTAGTTTCTTCCTTTCCTCCATATGTTGTCAACATCCATTGGTGCAGCTCCTCCATTGTAGTTTGTTCCTACTGCTGAAGTAGATCTAGTGAAGGCTGAAATCGTCTTGTAGTAGTCCAAGATGAGTGCTCTGATCTCGATGTAGTTCGTGATCTGTCCAGCTCGCAGTTGGAGGTGTTGCTGCAGTGCTCCTTTGGTTTTGTTGAGTAGTATTGCTATTTTGATTCCATCTGGTAGTGCTGTTCCATTGTCTTTCTCGTAGCGGTTGATGTCGTATTCCCATTGTAGAAATTGTTCTTCAAACTGCGCTTCGTTGAATGTGGGTTCCAGTAGTTTGGTAAGGTAACCAACGCTCCTTGTTCCTACTGGTAGGCTGAACCTGTTGTGTAGCAGTCGTAGTGTTTCACATCCGTTTGCGTTGTAGCGGTTTTGCCTTACTACTGTAGCTGCTGCTCCCTGACAGATGTTGATGAGGATGTAGTGTAGATCTCTGGAGAGGTCTACTGCTTTGCTTGCTTGTGTAGGGTCGAGTATGTGTGTTCTGATGTCTGTGTCCTCAATCTGTCGTGTAGCCACTTGTGCTAGTTGTAGCACCAGGTCGAAGTCTCGGTCTATGAGGCCGAGGTATGCTTGTAGCTTGAACAGCCATTCTTCATACTGGGAGTAGTCACCAGTGAAGAAGGGTGGTGGCAGTTTGTATCTATGTAGTCTCTGAACGTCGTTGTCTTGTTCTGTTCCTGCTCCCGTAGTTGTGGCTCCTACTGTGTCTGCTGTTGGCCCGTTCTCTGCTCCTGTAGTTTGTTGTGCTGAGGCTGATGGTGCTTCTCCTGACATGTCGTAGTAGTTTGGCATGTGGCTGCTGTTGCTGTTGTTGTAGTACTCACTGCTTACTGCAGCTCCCCTATGTTTAGGATCTCAGCTCCGCTACCACGTTAAAATCAGTTGTTACTTTGCTTACAAGTGCAAGTGTAGTAATGTTCAAACAAACAGTCAGCCAATGTAGTCTGCAGCTGCCAACCTTTTGACTCATGCGGAGTAGTAAGCTCAAGGCCTGCGGTAGTGAACATACATGCAACACCAGTGCAAAGTGAAGCATGTAGTTTGACACGAGAGAGAGAGAGAGAGAGAGAGAGAGAGAGAGAGAGCCAGAGAGCCAGAGAGAGAGAGAGAGAGAGAGCCAGGGAGAGAGAGAGAGAGAGAGAGAGAGAGAGAGAGCAAGAGAGAGCAAGAGAGAGCGAGAGCAAGACAGATAGCGAGAGAGCACGAGAGAGAGAGAGGGCCGTGCGGCGGGTTTGTTTAAATAGAGGCAACCAGGAACACTCCGACTGCTTCTAGGCGCCAAAGTATAGAACCAAGGCAAACCGCCATTTGACCGTTTCTGCAAAAGTCGGAAACGCTTTTTGTGGGTCAATGCTTTGAGGCAAACGAAAGAGCAAATGCAGACTCGAGAAGACCCCTTGTGTTTTGGCACTTGGGATGTACATGTGCGTGGCAGCCAAACTACTTGTAAACACATGATTCCGTGGATGAACGAAATGCTGCGCCGCCTTGAAACCATGGTTGCAACCATTGTTTGTTGGTATTTGCCGGGGAATCAACCAATCCGTTGGGTTTCTGAACGGTGGCGCGAAACGGATTTCGCAGCCATCCACGGTAGGGCTAAGTTGTTTTGAATGAGCAAAAGAGAGAGCAGTGAGCCTGGGCCTCAAAAAGTGAGGGTTTATCGGGAACTGGTCCGACCTGTCCGACCCCCTTGCTTCTGGCAGTAAAGGTTGGGTGGATGTCATCTGTTGAAAAAAAATGTACATGGGGTGATGTCCCTTTCTAAGGGCATGTCTTAAGATTGGGCCCCCAAAATGGCGGGCTTTCCTGTTGTGTGAAACCAAAAGGGTTGGTTCCAGCAAAAAAAAACAAGAAAGACACGCCCATGTGTCCATTGTTTCTCTTGGGGCGGGTTGCCGCTAACTCCAAGTTGTGGAATGTGGCGACTGATCTCTCAAAAGCTGGGAGATGAAGCCTTTCTGGCTCTCTCCCCAAAGTGGGTTCTATGTTTGCTGACGTCGCGCCCGGCGATTTTCATGGGCTACGGGGGGAGGGGGGCTATCTCTTCAGGCCTTCGGGGCTTGCGCTTGGCCGAACTTATGCAGGGACCCCCATAGTAGCCTTGGCCCAATAGCAGTAAAAAGAAAGGTTCATATATGGACACAGCCCTTCAGCCTTTTGGGTGTCTTTGGGGGGGGGGTCGGGGATTGAAAAGGAAGCCCCAAAGGAAACCACCTACCTGGACCCTCGAACTACCTCTAAAAAAGGGGAATCACCCCATAAGTTTGGGGCAAGAACCAGTTTGTGTGGGTAGTTTGAGCTAGTTTGTCCTGTTTCCATTTCCAGACAAATCAACAACACGCAGGGCCTTCTGGTCGCTGACGATGTATGATGGCATCACCCAGCTCCTGGTGCCCAACGCATTGCAGCGGTACCTCTTCAACAGCCCGATGTTGCCGTCAATGCGGCAAGCGGAAGCCGCTCAGATTGAATCCGAAACGGATGGAACGCCAAAAAAACGTGCCACTGAGCCACAAGCAAAACCCTGGTAGATGAAGGTAAGGGCTAGTCCCAAGCAGAAATGGGTGCCGCCGCCTTCGTGATTCTTTACATGGTGCTGGGGATCGACTATTTTCTTGCCAGGTTTTGATTATGGCTCACTGCTCAGATTCCCCCTAGGTGGTGATCGGATTGGTGAACCAAGGTTCGAAATAAAATCAGGTAAACATATGAATAATGGTTGCCCCGCCCATGAACTACCTCTGTTGCTCTGCCTGTAACAAAATGTAAAACGGCACTGAGGATTTATGTGTGTTTGTCATAAGAACGACGTCTAGAGCAAACCATATATATGTATACTAGGCACAAAAAACATGTACCCTTATTCTAACCTCTCTACTGGAGGACCTAGTATATTTATAGACACACACACACACAGCCAAGGTACAAGGAGTGCACAAGTCTCCGTCCCTAAGTTCCTGGATTTGATCAGTACTTTTTGGGCATACCAGTTTACGAACTCTACCAACGGAAGGTTTTGGAGAGATTTGGTACTCAATGGGAGCATAAACCCACGTTCCAAGGGGTTTACTGGGCTGATATATCTCTAGTCATAACCCTATTCACTGGGCAAACAAGCACTTTGAACCTGTTTGTGCCCGACTCCGAAAGCTGTGAGATGTTGTTCCACGACTCGCACGTGGCCAACCGCGTGGACCAACACCGACCAAACAAAGGGCAACCGAACAAACAAACAAACAAACAAACAAACCCACCCAAATCCACCCAACCAACCAACCAACCAACCAACCAACCAACCAACCAACCAACCAACCAACCAGGGAACCTTGTGCTATCCGCCCCAACTGCATATCCCTAGCTACGTTCTAGATTCACTCTTGTTTCAGACCCTGTACATGGCCGCCCAGTAAATAGGGTTATGACTAGGGTTACAAGCCCAGACTAGGGTTATCAGATGTGTCCAAAAACCTGATCTTAGAGCCGATTGAAAACCTGATCTTAGAGCTTTACTTGGCGATCTGATTCTTCTTTCAGGTTTTGGACATATTGTGAAATTTGCGGATCCATATGAGGAGGTGTATCAATATTCCGTGAATATTTCGAGGTCGTAGGGGACAATCGCCTGGGTAATTCTGGGTAGATCAAATTAGTTCTGGGTTTTGATTGTGGTTCAAATGACCAATGGTAACTTTTTCCATTTAGTGGGAAGTATCGTCTTTTTAGCGCTGTTCCCCAATGGTCATCCCATGTTCATTGGGCCTTTTGATCAACCCAGGAGATGGACTGCAGGTTTCACAACCCAAGTTGGGTCCCTGCACCCTCAAACCTTGCAATCAATACCCCAAACCCCACGTAAGATCGATCCGTGCTCCTTTTTCTAGCCTCAAGGGGCCCTTGATGACCCCTGGGTTCGATTTCTTCGGTTTCTCGCGGCAGCGGCTGCTGGCGTGAGCGTGGGCGCTCACGCTCAGGACGGCTCGGTGACGTTGCACGTCTCCGCAGCCTCCCCGGGCCCGGAGAAGGAGAGCGAAGCCGGGTGGAAGCATGCAGGACAACCAAATACTAGCTGTGTGCACGTCCTCTGCAAAGTCACATGGAACCTGAAAAATCAAAAAGCAAAGCTTTTGTTTGTGACATGGAACTGCAAAAACAAAAAGCAAAACTTTTGTTTGTGACATGGAACTGCAAGAACAAAAAGCAAAACAGTTTTTGTTTGTGACATGGAACTGCAAGAACAAAAAGCAAAAGAGTTTTTGCTTGTGACATGGAACTGAAAAACAAAAAAAACACCTTTTGTTCGTGGAATCTCTTTTTGGGGCGGCCCTGGCATACGAGCAGGTGTTCCATCTAAATTGGGGCACTCTCAAGAAAAGGCGCCAAGGCGTTATCGGTTGGGGTATGGTCGTTGGGTGGATGGATTTTCGAGTGGTTGCCTCGCTTTTTGGTTTTCAGTATTAGCGCTTTGGGGCAGTTGAGTGAGTTGCTTTTGATGGGTTGATGTAAAAGGGGGAATAAGGAACCCAGATGAATGGCCAGCCTGGCATGCATTTGTGTTGCCCCCATGTTTAATCAGCAACTTGCATAAACAACCGCCGTTGTTGTTTTCCTTTAAAGCAGACCAAAGGCTGGTCGTTTGAACAATGTTGCGCAACCCAGCCGCACAGCGCAACTGACGGTCATCCAGGCACACTTCGTTTCACATCGTTCTTTGGAAATCGCCCAAATTCTTGGACACAGCCTCACCCCCCTCCTCCCCACCCCGCATTCCCATTCCTGCATTCTTATTTTGGGCGGTCTGCTATTTGGAAACAAGTCCAAATCGGTCTATTGCCGTCTTTGTGTTCAGCAGGTTGCAACCATGAGTTGAAGCTTTCCAAATCATGGTTGTTGGACATAGGGTTTTGGGGCGCCATTTTTTTTACGATAGCAAAGAAATCAAAGTCACATGACAATTCTAATTCTCGAAATTGTTTGCCCGGAGTTCTGGACTTGGTATGATTGGTTGTTTTCTGAGGGTACCTTGTTTGGGACGGTTTTAACAGGAAACCATCGCAGTCTCTTTTGGTGGGCAACTAATTGTTGGTGCGGGGTTTGCTGTTAGATGTTTTTTTAATATTTTTGTTTAAGGGTGTGTTTGGGGTTCCATCCACCTTGAGCAGGGCTATAACACTTCTGAGGGCGCCCTTCATGGGTTGTTGCAAAGGAAGCCAGAAGGGGGTCAAAGGGGTGGTCAAAACACGAGTGAACCAGTGGAGCCAATATTCGTAAGAGCCTTCTTGCTTTCTTGTTGGGCCCAACCACCCCCTGTGCAGGGACGCCAAAATTGTTCAAAAAGCCAGCCTTTGGTCTCCTCTAAAGGAGAACACAAAAGGCGGTTGTTTCTGCAAGCTGCTGTTTAAACATGGGTGTGTAGCTTTTCTTGGTGGTTTTTAGTGAACACCAAGAGGAGAATGACAATTTGTTTGAGTGGGTCTTGTAAACAACCTTTCCAATCGTTTTCCTATTAAAGCTGGCATTACGCCCTTTGGGGAATCACCCTATTCAAGCCTATTTCCAGATAGAACCTGGTTAGTTTGGTCTATTTGGGATTGTGTTGGGTAATTTCCCTAGGGTGTAATCCCAGGCCTTTTTTCAGCAACCTGGAAACGCAGGCGCCAAAGGGCCGATGTTCCATTTGAACCAAGATCAAAATCAAGAAGGCCCCTCTCTTTTTTTGCGGGTCCTTGAAAAACCAAGGAGGGTGCAAAAGGGAAAACTATTAGCCGTTCATCTCCTTCCATTACTCTCTTTCCATCACCTTCTTCCACCTTTCCGATGGGTTTCATGGATGGGTGAGAGCTGAGATGAAGGAAGCATCGCTTTCAAAAACAGAGCCATCCATACCCATCCTCCAGCTCTACTCTCCAGGGACACATGTTTAACCCCGCTGGCCCCGGTCAACAGCGCAGCCAACAAGTGGAGGAGAGCAATTGGTTGCCGGCGCCGAACGGGCCCTTCTATATGGTGCTCAGGCTCTACCTGCCCAAGGCCTTTGCATCCCCGTGTCCCAGAAAAAGGAGTTGGGGGAGGGAGTTTGAATTCTGGAGATCTCCGTTAATTCTTCCATTTGACCTTTTCTGGAGAGTACTAGTAGATAAAAGGAATTGGGTCCCGGACCAGCCCCTCAAACGGGGGATATTCCTGTGCTGGGCATTCTTGGGTGGGGGGCTTCCCTTGTTTCCGGTTGCCCAGATGGGCTGAAACCAACACCACAATATATACATTGACACACGAAATTGGTCTTGTCAAAAGTGGGCTCAGCAAACGGCGTGGCTGTGTTTTGGAGAGTACAAATTGCGGGGATTGCCTTGAAGCGAGCCAAAAGCAGACAGCCCAGTCTTTGGGGAGTCCCCCCAATTTGAAGAACCCATGTTGCAGGCGGCGGCATTTGAAGGCTGGAAGCAGCCGAAACTCGTGCCTGTGCCCAAATAAAGGCAAAGGCGCAGTGCAACCTGGGTCCCAGCAAGACTTGGACCCGGGTGGAGGAAAGTGCAAACGTCATTTTCAAGTTTTAATTAAGGGCGACGTGTCCCCTAAAGTGAAGCACCTACCGTGGATGGACGGAATTCCTGCAGCTGGGGATGAATGACACAACACGAATTCTAGGAGAACAGCACTTCCACCAACTGGTGCGCGGAGCTGTTTGTCCATCCACGGTCACCTCTTTGGCCGTCCACTTTTGGAGAAATCGAAAACGCGAGGGGTCCGTCCACTCGTCCCATGTACAGATCTGGGGCTCCAGGATCTTCCGAGTTTTTGTGTAAGGCTTTTTCGACAGGCGAAGCCATGTATCAAGGTCCCAGCTCAAGTCTGGCACTGGAGAGTCCGGTCCCGATAGGAGTGGCTCGACTTGTGAGGTGGGGGGAAAAGCAAAAAAAGGCCATCTTGTTGGGGCAGGGGGGGGGGGGGCGGGGAAGGGATTTTTTTGAGGGGTCCAACCCAACCTTAAAAAAGACACACACCCAGAGATGTTTCGAGGGGTTGAGTCCCAAATCTATTCAACCAAAATCTGGAAAGACTGGGGAAGGTACCCTGAGTTTCTGGACTTTATAACACCCCTGGAGTTTTGATGGTTTCCTGAAAAGACAGATCCCTGGAAAGAATGGACATGGAAGCTTCCCCTGTTGCGCGAAGTCCGATGTACGGCGAGTTTCCGCAAGAATGCGAAAGTGAGATGTCGCAAAGTTGTGCGGGCCGAGAAGTCCATATCGGGACCCACTCCAGACGCGACGCTTCGCGACAGGGCGTGTACAGACTGCTATGAAGAAGCTGGAAGCCCCGAGTGAAGAGACCGGAGTCGTGCGGAGGGTATGCTTCAGAACAATGTTTTTTTCTTCGATCACAAACAGCCCTGGTATCCCCAACAGCCCCGGAACGCGCAGAGGCCACCATAGCTGCCAGCTTTTGGGGAGAAAATTTCCGGGGCCAGCAGGATGAGTTGCGCCACTTGCCGCTTCTCCGAGGCGAGAAAGGCGTGCTTTTTAGGATCAAGGTGACTCTGAAGTCTTGGCTGTGGCTCAAAAAAACGGTACCCAAATGGAACCCTGAAAAGTGGAAACATGGACCAAAACCTGCGTAACCCCTCCTGCTTAATTTTGAGCCACACCCATTTTGGGTGGGCATCAACCCCCGAATTATCATGTCCACCAAGGAGCCCCGAACTCAGATTCGTACGTTGCCAAACCAGACGGCTCTTTCGGCAAGGGGAGGGTACCTACCCGAAAAGTATATATGCAGAACCAGCCCGGGCGGGGTCCGCTTTTTGCGGGGTCCTTTTTGGGAGCTTGGCCTGCATGTTGGAGCAGCATGCATGTTGGGCGGCCCATTGATTTGTATGATACTGTGAATGGACAAAGCAGTACGCAAGCCTTTCACATCCAATGATTGACTGGTGACAGCAAGAGTCTGTCCATCAGTAGGCAGTTTCGAAAACATGCTCCTGACATATCCCCCCAGTGGATCCCGGACAAGCCACTGTAGTTCTCCCTTCTCTATGCCCTCGGTGGAATGTTAAGCGTTGGAACCAGCTCACAAGTGCTGGGCATGAATCCCCCAATTCTGATGCCCAGAGGGTCGACAATTCAGATGCACAGGGACCTTGGGTGTCAAAGGCTGAAGGTATACGTCCATAATATGAATCCCTGGTATGACCCCCCTAGTTTATGGGTTAGCTAAGCGTTACTGTGTGTTCTGCCAGAGGGGGTCCAAAATGGCCACGGGTTTATTTATGGACCTGCACAATCAGCCTTTGAGGGTGGCCCCGGAGGAAAAAAAGCAAAATCAAAAAACAAAACCAACTACCGGTTGCAAAAACATGGGGATAACTCCGCTTTAAGGGTAGTGTGAGGGTCCAGGTAGACATTTGTTTCTGTGCTTTGCAAACCGCTTTGGCTCAAGCCCGTGGTTTGCCAAAACTTGTCAAAGGGCTCAAGCCCTTTGTGTTTCGCTCCACATGGACAGCGAAAGTGGGACAATTCACTCTGCAAATTGATATGGAACCAAAACCTGTGGACAAGATTGTTAGGCTGGAGATTGCGTGTTTCAAGAGAGCCCGGAAGATGAGTCGGTTTTATCTTTTACTCTTTGCCTTAAACCTAAAAGCAAACCAAAGCAGAATATCCTCAGAAACAGACCCAAGTAGCACCCACAGAAGCAAGTCTCGTCAGATGCCACTCCGCCCACGAGAGTTGCTCGCAAGATAGCAGCAAACGCCAGTCGCAACGCATGGCGCACGTGTACCGATGGATGTGTTTGGCATCTTGTCTCAAGAATGTTTGTGTGTGTGAGTCTCTTCTGAGATCATCGACATGTTAAGGTTGACTACAGAGGGGGCAGAATCAAACATTTCCTTGATTGGGGGGCCAACGGCGGTACTGCGCAAGACAGGCATTCGTGGTTGATTCTGCTTAACTGCCATTTGTTTGGCAGTCACGTCCGAATCTGTCCAGTAAAGGAGCCCCCCAAAACGAAGCACTGGGTGTGTGTCCGACAGCCCAGGTTTGAGGATCGGAGGTTTCAACCTGGACCCTGAAACTCGCCATGAAAATGGATGCCATTGCCAAACCGATGGTTGGTCTCTTTTAAGGCTTAGTTTGAGGTTTAACCACGATTTTTTGCGGATCACACATTTTTTTGCCACACATATGCGCATGTGGCCGATTGCATCGCCCCGACAACTAGTGTTAGTGTTCTTTCCAACTTCCAGTTGCGATGGTTGATGTTGATTTGATTGTTTAAAGGGAAACGGCCATTTGCTTGTTGGTGAAGTCAGCCTCAGATGAATCCGGGGCACCCTACTAAATCAGACGACCCCCCCTTCCCTTGCTTCAAGGGAACCACGTCTTGTACAGTCCTCCGGATCAATTCGAAGCAACCATTAAAACATGTACCGTGTTTTGGTGACACAGAAAATCCAAGTTTGCAACTGAGTTCCCTGAGCTCTTGGCTCCGGAGCACCCCCTCCCGCTGTTTACAAGTAGACCGCGTCTCAGGCGCACTCGAGAGATACCAAGAGGAACCCCCAAGCAGGTTCCTTCCAATCCTTGAAGGGGCTGGGATTTTCGGGGCGTTGGGCCGTTCTTTCCTTCGCCGTTGCACTCAAATACCTGGCATGATACCCTATGTTGATTGCTTTCCGCCATCTCCCAAACAAGACGCCCAATTTGCTCAAGAGTTGCAGGTTCACAATTCCTGGACCCTCAAACTACCCTTAAAGAAGGGACACTCGCCAACCAGAATTTGGGGTTGCAATGTATAGCCCACTTTTTTTAGTCGGGTAGTTCTGTCGGGTGGGACTTCACCAACCACATTTTTTTGGGTTGCAATCCCATGTTTCTGGATAGTTTGAGGGTTTCGGTGCTTCGAATTTTCCGATTTGGTACCCAATTCAACCTGCCACGAAGCCATGCCCACGGTTTCAGGCGCCACTCTGGACGGCCTCAGCCTTTCGAGATGAGGCGATCGGATACGGCCAGGGCAGGAATGCGCACGGCTGGGGTTGGACACGGTGTCGCCTTCTTCTTCACAGTTGGATCATGTTTGTAGGTTTTTAGTTGTTTTTGTGGTTCCGGTCTTTGTTTCTGGGGGGCTGCAAGCGACCGTCAGTTTGATTCTGCCATACCATTTGGGTTGGAGAGATTTTCTAGGCCCCCCTGTTTGGGGGAGGCTCCCCCTACTATTATTCTAACCTCTCTACTGGAGGAGCTAGATTTTGCTGAGTGGAGCAAGCACGAAGCATTGGCAAGGTATCCAAAGCACCGCCCAAAAAGCCGTGGTCAAAGACGTGCATGGGCTAACGAATTGAGCTAGAGCCCAGGAGGCAATCTTTGGTCTGTGTATATGGGTCCCGGGTGTTTTTTGGAGGGTACCCTATTTGGTGTTAAAGGGACACCGGTCAATCCGTAATATATATATATATATATACATACATATGGTCACCCCCCCCCTCTTCAGGGCCTGCAGGGTCCGCATGTTTATTCTCCATGGCTGTGGCCATGTCCACAGGTCCACTCAGCTCACACCGCTAGCTCGCGTTTTTCAGGCTTCGCCGAAGCCCACGCGGAGCATGAAATGGGTTTGTTTTATTATTTGGGGAGACCCCCCCGCCCAAATGTGTCGTTTTCCTTTTGGTTTCCCTTTAAAACCACCAAAAAGATAGGTGCCAACTCCAAACAAGACACGAAATGCTGCAGGGTTACGCTGCCGCGAACTTTCGACAGCGTTAAGAATCGGATTGTTTTTTGACTGCTATGACTGCTATGACTGCCTACTGGAGGTGCATCAGTGTAGGGGGCACCCCCCCCATTCGTAGGACGGGTTTCTTAGTCCTGGTTCCCACGAGCCGAAATTCACCCAATCGAAATGTATCTTTGCCTTTGGACAAGTTCACCCCCAAGGAGATTTAAGCTCCTACAGAGCAGCATGGAACCCAACAAACCATCATTCTGAGAGGAGACTTTTTTGGGGAAATGGACCACTTATCGGGTTCCAGCGAAAAATATGCCGGGGAGTAGGTGCTGGGTGTTGACCTGGATCTTCAAACTACCCATAAAAGCAACAAGACATCGCCCCATACTTTTGGGTTGCAATCACCTGTTTTTCTGGGTACCTGCACCCTCAACCCATAAAAATGGGTTGTTGCCCCACAAATACGGAGTGAATACGTTTTATGGGAAGTTGGAGCGTCCAGGTAGTTCTTTCGGGTCCAGGGGTTCGGCTCGTTTCCCCCAGAGCTCCCGCTCCTCGCCCGAAAGGTGGGCCATATGGCAATGGACCGGGAGGCGGGGGAGATTCCCGGAGATTGGCCTCGCATGTCTAAAGCCGATGATCTGGGTGATCTATTTTTTCACGACCTCACAGGACCGAATTCACCCCAAAGGGTGGTTTCTGTGGGGAATAGCCCCCCGTTTTCACCGTATTTCAGGTGGGTGAAATATGATAATTCACCCAGAATGATGGGCTAGGGATGTGTGTCTTCCTCTTCTTTTTTTTTGCCGGGGGGTATCGGACGACAGCCAAGCCCTTCATTGATTCGAAACGGCTGGCTTGCCGGCAGGTGCCTCCAACTTGTTTTTTTTTTTTTTTGTGTGTTGTTTTTTCCAGACCTCAAGCAGACTTGTGCTCCAGTGTATTTTTTCTGTTCACTGATGTCGCGAAAGCCGGTCAGCATTGGAGAGAGGAGATGGAGGACTACACTGGCTTCTTTGATGTCGCTCGCTGAGTCGTGCCTTTGATGGAACCGCGGATCTCGACTGACTATGGCACCTTTGGGTGTGAGAATCATGAGTACCAGTGGGATGCCAGGAAGTGATGTAGCGGTTCAGGGCAAGCTACCTCGACCCTCAGGATCCCTTCCATAGCTAGAGGTACTGTGGACGGATGTTGGATTGCTTCGATTTCCCTATAAATACCAACAAAAACGCTATGGTTTCAACCATGGTTTCATTTTGTGGGTTTCAACTGAAAGTTTCAACCGTGGCTTCTTAGGTGCTGCGAAATGAATTCGCCACCATCAACCGTATGTCCCACCGAATCTCATGATGGGCCCCGTGGCTTGAACGATGGGCACCTCAAAGTTTGCTACTTAGCTTTGGTGAAAACCTAGGGCCCCCAGTAGTGTCCTTTCTCACCCCTTTTTTGGTTGGGAGGGTTCCCCTACTAAAATAGACAAAGGAAAAAAAGGGTAAGCTTATTCTAACCTCTCTACTGGAGGACCTAGAAACAAATACCAGCAGTCTATGGTCCATTCGGGAGAAGGCATGGGGGACTCACTTTATTTCCCCACGAAAAGGGTGTTTTTTTTTCAAAAGCAGTTGTTCTCCTAGAACAGTTGGCTTCCTTTTGGGTTTTCTTTCACTACTAAAGTGGGTCTGCCATTTGAGAGCTCCCCCCCCCCGGCTCGGCATGGGAAAACACCCTCCCACATGATTGCTGGGCATAGATCTCCTCCTACTAATGGATGTCCACCAAAGGGTCCCCAATGAAAATTCATGATGCTGACCCCGGATGAATAAATCCGTCCTGTAGAAGGGGGTGTTCCCCTCCGGTATCAAACTAGGAAGCTATTTGGATGGATACGGGGCACACAGGCTGTTCCGTTTGGGATCCCTTTCAATTTCAGCGGTTTTGAATGGATAAGGGATATATGCCGAGTCAAGTTCAAGGACATCAAACTAGGAAGCTGTTTTGGATGAAGAAGGGATACAACAATGCCGAGGGGGTGTCTAGTCAACACAGTTTGTGCTTCTATGGCTTCAAAGCACAACCAAACACACGCTTCCTCCAACCGGTTGGTCTGTGGACTGAGCAGCGCGCAAAACTCATCGGCTTTTGGTTCTCACAAGATGATTATATTCGGGTTTATGTAGGCCTTACTATATTGCCTATTAAACCTGCTAGCAGGATGCTCCTTAAGTCCATGGTAACCCGAAAGAGAGAATGACTAATGATATTGCTGGGATGTTCATTGCCAACTTAGTGTCTGTGGTCAGCCAATTGGGCTTGTTCACACCTACCAAGGTAAACCTCACATTCACAAAACACTTATATGTTATTAGGAAAAGCCCTTAATGAGGCCTGCGGGATTATGTAAATACAGACCCCCCCCACCCCAAATCTCCTTTGTAAGAGTCCATGACTCTGAGATGGTGCACACCAAAGCTACTCCAAACCGAATACCCCCAAGGAAAACAAGATGTATACCCTTTACATGGTTTTTGGGCTTGGGGGTAGCTTCGACTGCACCATCTCAAAAAGAATCTGGGTCAACAGTAATGTTCACCCTATATTGATCAACCCCAGTTCACACTTAGGAGGGGAACACCCGAAATTTTGCACCACCTAAGAAACCTGGAATGCTTCGTGTTGCCTGTAAATACCAACGCACGTTATGGTTTCATGTCGTGCGAAATGGATTTCGCGACCATCCACGGCATAAATAAACCATTTATACCTGTGTCGTGGTGCGAAATGGATTTCGCAACCATCCACGGTAAAAAGAAAAAAACAGCATTTAACCTGGGGTCAACATGACCCACTTCTCGTCAGGGGCGATGGGCCGCTTGGACCTCAGGCCGCTTTCGAGATGTGGTGCATGGCTTCGGTCCCCCGACGTCTCCTTATGATTTAATGGGCTCGACATGTGTGAAACGGAAGCTGAAGGCATATTTCTTTCTATGCACCCCCCCCCCCCCCACAATTTGTTTGACACACAAGGCATGGCATAGTTTCCTACACCCTGTTTGGCTTACACGGCCTTGCCAGCTTTTGGCTGACCTTGCCTCTGCCAAACTTGACTGCTTCACATAGCACACACTGCTTCTTGCCCCCCCCCCCACCAAAAAGAAAACAAACAAACAAAAAACACGGTAACTTGTTTTTTTGTTTTTGTGTGTGTTTTTTGTTTTTTTTGTTTTTTTTTTGGGGGGGGGTGTATATATAAGTGTAGTTGGTGCTGATTTGGGCCAAGTTTCAACAGTGATGCCCCCCATTTGTTTCCTCGGGCTGTCCATGTTGATGTTCGTGAGGGAAATCTAAAGAAAGCAAGCTGTGTAGTTGGGCAGCCCTAGAAGTCGAAGCAACATGCGCCCTGTTTTGATTGTCCCTCAATTGTTTGCGGTTGAACTGGGAATTTGAACCCCTGGTTCTTATGTAGAGGGCAAACGGGAACTACCTTGCCCACCAAACCACCGGGCTCCAAGCCACCAATTGGACCCTTCATCAAAGTTTGACTGAACCATGGGGAGTTATGAATGTCAGAAGCTCGTTATTTACCCATCCACGGGGTGGCATTATTTTTGATGCTAAAGTCAGGTGGCCCCCAGTCAAAAGCCGAAGCAAACTCATGGGACCCTCGGGTTGTTTCTCTTTCGCGAAGCCTCGGCCGAGGCGGAAGAGGACTGGCTGCATCCGAGTGCCAAGGCTCTGCATGGCTTCGGACGCTCTTTGCTCAAAGAATTCGGAAGGAGCCCCCGAAAAGCGCCGGATCCCCCGACAAAAAAAACACATGCCTGGGTGTGTGTGTGTGTGTGTGTGTGTCTGTTTCTAGGGACCTACCAAAACAAGGTGTGGTTCATGTGGTTTCCCTGCATTCAACCCCAAGGAGGCTACGGAAGAAGGGATTCCCAGCCCTCAGTTGCCCGAAGCGAAGCGACTGGAGTTGAAAGGCCGAGCTGGTTTTCCGGAGGTCGCGACCTGGGCAGGTGAGATACAAGTGAGGGTTGAGTGGATGCCACGTGGAGTTCGCAGGAACGTAGATGGTTGCTTGTTGGAAAACCATTTGAGATTAGAAAAGAGACAAGTCTAGACTTGTTCTGACCAATCGAGGAGGTGTGTGAGGTTGGATCAAAGGTCTAGGCAAATTCAGCATGTTTGCTGGAGTGGGAAGCCCCCTTTCAATGAGAAATTCACAGGGGATGGTCGGATAAACCCGTGTAATCAGAATGGTGGGGTGCGTCAAAGATGTGTTGGTGTCTGAAGGGCGGGGGGTTGGTATTTGAAAGATCAACTCCCATCACCCGATGCGGTCCAAAACCACTGCCTGATGGACAGTACCAAGCACCGATTTTGGTTGGGGGGGCTGGTGTGCTCCTACATGTTTTGTGCATGGGTGCCAGCAAACCAGCAGGGGCAATCTCCTTTCAGAAATGGACCGGTTTTTCGGGTTCCATGGTAGTTTGCAAGCGCAAGTGGTGGTTGAAAGGGACATCGGAGCCTTTGAACAGAAAGATCAGTTCAGTTTTTTGAAAAGAAAAAGTGAGTTTGCGTTACTCCTTTTCTCCCTGGAAGCCACCGTTATGTCTTTTCAGCCGTGGCTCGCACTGGTTAACCGCAAGGTGAAGAAGCCGGAAAACATTGACTGCGACAATGCGGTGGACCTGCTCAAGAACATGGCCCGGGCACTCAGCGGGGCCTTTTCTGCTTCGTGTTCATTGCTTTTTTGTTTTGGGGGGGTCTTGTTTCTTCTTGGGGGGTCTTGTTTCTTCTTTCTATATTTGTTTTTGAATGCACGGGGTGGTTGGGGGGGGGCTCAGGGGTCTGGCGCGAGACTTGCAACTGTTAAGTCCAACGCGAGACTCGCATTCCCGCAGCTCCGACTGCGAAAAATGTTAGTGGCTAGGTGCAAAGCTAGTGCTCGAAGCGCGCTCTTGCAGCTCCAGGTCGGAAATCGCAACTTTCAAGCGCGACGGTGTTGCTCGGAAAGTGGGCTCTCGCATCTCCAGCTCGAACAGTCGCAACTTTAAAATGGAAAAGCAGCGCGCGAATTACACATCCGTATCCGCAGCACGAAAATCACAACTTGTAGCGCAAAAGTAGAGTGCGAAGTACACTTCCGCCGCTAAAACTGCCAGCCTTCTTGCAGTGCCCAGATATGGACAAGAGAGTTGCTCAAGAGAGGACATGACATGAAAGATTTGGCAAGAGAGGTCGAAGGGGATCATGCGCTGCATCGTGCGCCACGTCGCGCGACATCATGCACAACATCATTCGTAGCATCACGCACAGCTTCGCGCGCAGCATCAAGCCACAGCAGCATCGCGCGCGCGAGGTATGGACAGGAGAGATTGTGAAGCAGGATGCTGAGCTTGCGCATGAGAAATCGCTGAAGCTACGCCGGAGCAGAATTTGTTTCTCATCAGTCATCAGGTGGGAGAGGTGTTGGGGTGCATTTAACAGTCAAACCCAATACTATTATGGGTCTCTTGCCGGGATAAATCTTTCCAGGCGGCAAACGCAAGTGGAAGACTACCAAGAAAGCCAAGTGCACCGCCTCAGGCATAGAGGTCAAGAAGAGGAAGTTCAGTTCAGCGGCGAAGGTCGAGACGGACAAGCGCGGTGAGTGGATCAAAAGGGCACAGCGGCTCCTGACGTGCCCGAAATAAGGGAGCGTGAGGAGGATGGTGGCCAGGAGCCGCGCGGTTCCCGACTTCTTCAAGTCACAAGGCGTGCCAAACCAAAAGCTTTAAGTGGTTGCTTGCAACCTTGCAAATCGCATGCCCAACCCAATCCGATCCAAGTCACTCTAGCCAATCCAATCCCGTCCCAATCCAATCCGATCCCAACGCAATCCAATCCCGATCCAACCCAAGGCCAAGCCAACCTGCAGTCCACGAATGCCATCGACTGGGAGGAACGGGGCACGGCCTTGAGACCGCACCGCAGCCAGCGTGAACATGCCGGTTGACACGGGCTTTTCCCTCCCGAAGCTCCTCCTTGGCGAGTTGTTCTTGTCTTCCGCAACAATTAGTCGGCGATCCCTGTCCGTGATGAACTTCTTGACGAAGCGTGGCGTCCATATTTCAGGAAGGACAATCTGGGCTTTCGCGCCGCGCGCCACCAACCGTCCAACGCCGCCGAAGCAGTGCTTCAGGGCTTGAGTCGTGACCCGAAAGGCAAGGGCAAGGTGGTCTGGATGGCTCGATCGAGATGATCTCCAAAACGACAATCCGAGAACAGGAACGCAATGCCCGGTCCTGCCTCCCGCCAGAGGATATGAAGCACGACTGGTGCACGTGTCGGGGTTCCGCCTTCGCTTTCTTCTTGTACTTTGCCTCGGTCGCTCCGGCTCTGGGTCTCGGAGTCTTCATGCGTTGGGCCGTCCCCTGAACAGGGTGAGGGGGCCGCCCCTCGTCGCGGTGTGTTGGGTACTACGGTGCAGGTTTACTGTTCTTCGCCTGCAGAGTCCATGGCTTCTTCTTTTTCCCCTCCTGTCCGTCTGTTTTCCTCGGTTTCCTCCGACCCCGCCCCCCCACCCGAACAAAGCTTTGCTGACAGTTGGGGGCATGCTTGCTTTTTGGACTCGGGGGTTCAGTTTGGCTGCAAGACCCCTTGGCACAGAAGGCTATGCATTAGCTTCCTGAGTTGCTAGTCAGTAACACCTTGCGTGCTTTGCTGTGACTCTCAGATATTGCAGCATTTTTTACCTGTGCCTGAATTGAACAACTTTTACCCTTCATGGAGGACTTAGCGAAGGTATGGCTTCGGCCAATAGCCTGCCACCACGCTTTGCGTACTACTTGTGTGCAATTGCGTTCCTCGAGCCGGAGCAGGGGTAATACACTTCGCGTGCTGCTTTTGTACTCAAAAGTTACGACTTTCTCACCAGAATGTAATTAAAAGTCACGATGTTCGATCCTGACTGAGCTGCGTGAATGCTCTTCGTGTACTGCTTGCGTACTTGAAGCATGCGTTTTCAGCCGGAGCTGCGGGAATGCGTTTCGCGTGCTATACTTCTATACCTTTTGATGCGATTTCGGAGCCGGAGCTGCCGCGGACCAGAGCCTGCAACTGTGCGCTTGCGAAAGGATGCGCACAAACCATGAGACATTTGCATGGCGCCACAGCGAGAGCGTTTCGACACGTGCGATCTTTGTAAGAGGCTCTGCGGAGGGTTGCTCGCGTAAGCTGGGAATGCGAAATGGAATGATCCCGAGAAAGACCATCCCCCTATGGCCTAGTTTCATTCTCAAACCCTGGGTCATGCCCTACCTCCCAATGACATTCACACACCGGTATCAACTTTTAACGGGTCTCTCTCGTGTCCAGCCAAATGGGCAGTAAATCAGCAAGGTGTTTGCAGAGGGAAGGCTGGGAGGGTAAGTCTGGCCTAACATTCCCACCCAGGGGTGGCCTGGCTCTATGGCAATTTGGTAACGATCTTTGGACCTTAACGTTTTGGTTGAAACAAGTGGATTTTCCATTGGGCCCGGAAAGATGAAACACTTGTTGCAGAGGGGTCAGCAGCAATGGACTCCAATTAAAATCAATGGCCAAAACAGAGGCTCCCCAATGCTTCCAGTACCCAGGGGCCAAAGCAATGAATCGGTGAAGCAAATGGAAGCTGACAGGAAATCCACGGGTTTGGGAGAACGCATCCCTTTCTTAGTTATTTAAAAATCGACCTTTTGACCTTTTGGTTTTCGCATGTTCCATGTTTTGTTTGCGATCTTTAGACTTTAGCTTTTTGGTTGAGAACAGCGGTTTTCCATTATGTTCCATTAAACCCACAAAATAATGAACAACCCTTTTGCAGAGAGATCAACAGCAACCAAGATTTCCTTACCTTTCAACGGCCGCAGGTGGACGAGGAAAGGCACTTCGAGCTGTTGCTGGGAGTGGCTTGGCCGGCATAACGAACGCGAGCGAGGTTCAACCCAGCATAAATACGTGTGAAAAAGAACCCAATCGGGCTGTTCCTGCATCATCCATACAAAAAGCACACAAACGACAAAACCAGGGGTACCCGCAAAATAGACACCCATACAAGTCAGGGCCATTTAATTCCAGATCCGAACTGGGTGGGGTAAGGTTTGGTTCCTAATAATGCGCCATTTACTTATATTTTGGGGGGGGTGAAATGTTCGAAGGGATAAAGATTTGATCTCGCTTCTTGAAGCATATAGTATACAGATCCGGGACAAGCAAATATGCATGATGCTTAGCCGCCTAGTCTCACTCCCTGAGTTCGTAGACTTTAATATGTTTTCGGGAGAACACATGTTGTGGAAAATACACATTTTGGACTTTTTTGGCAAGTGAGTATTTGAGGATTCCCGAATTCCGGATTTTGTCACCTTAATGAGGGGATCCTCTTCAACAGCATGGCCACGATGTGTCCGTTCAGCCCTCCACCCCCGGTTGTTACCCTTTTGATTCGCGCATGGTACGGGGAGGGGGGGATACATTTCCCAAAGCTAGATTCCTCAAGCATCCTTTGTGTGTCCTTTGGAGTTCAGAGGGTTCCTTCATTCTGGTATGAACACATCTTGGCGGTTCCCAGCTGTCCCCCCTTGCCGTGTTTTGGGTTTTTGGTTGGTTTGGGTTTCCTTTTAAGCCACTAAAAGTTAACTTGTAGGGGATCAGCCCAGACATGTGCGTATCCCTGGAATCTTCTGACCTATGAATGGGGATTTCCACCCCTTCTTGGGTAACGCGATGGTTTGATTCGGGTCGGAAGGAGGCTGCAGGTCCCTGAAAGTTCAGTCCTTGTGCTGACCAAACGGATCCGCTTCGGAGCGTCGGGTTCCATGCCGAGCTCCAACACGATTTGCCCCACCAAAGGGTGGCTTTTCCTTCTGGTTGTTCCTTGAAAACCACCAAAAAGGGAAGGTACCCTCAAAGAAAATACCGCATTCTGTGGTTGCAAGGCAAGATCTTCCGCGTCCAGCGCCGTTTTTTCCGCTGGGTCGCTCCGGAAAATCACCCGAGAGTTGCGAGTTTCTGCAAGTTGGACTGGACCCCCTATGACCACCACTTGCTCCCCTACGAGCCTTACTTGGAACCCCGAAAACGGAGAGGAGATTCCCCCCTGCTGGTTTCATGGCTTCCATGCACAAGACATGCAGCATATCAGCCCCCCCAACTTGCAACCGCTTTTTCAACCGTGCGACCCAAATTTCTCCCGTACGGTAACAAACATAAGCGGTTGGATTGGACCGACCGAATCGGCTGGAGGCTATAGGTGGTTGTTTTCGTCAGGACGTTATTTCAATGGACACTGCACGGCGCTTCGCCGCCGCTTTTGCAACCCATGCAACCACAAGTCCCCCCCCCGTCCACAAAAATGGCTTATCGCCCCAAACCAAAAGATGGGTGGACTGCCTCTGGGTATACTTTAGAGGCTCCTGGTTGCATTGCACCGGAGAAAAAAGACTCGGGCGCTTTCGCGAAGCTCCGCTCCGCTTCCCCCCCCCCCCCCCCTGCGGTGTTTTGCTCGTAGCGGCGGCGCGGAGCGTCTCGCAGGTGGGCTTGGCGCTGGCGATTCTGGTGGCCCTCGGCAGCAGCTGCTTCATCGTGGGCCTTAAGGCGCGACGGGCGAGAAGTGGCGAGAGCGAGGGGGCCGGGGGCGCCGGGGGCTGGGGGGGGGAGTTCTCAACTGGGTCCCGCAGCTAGGTGCCCTTTCTCACCAACTTTTTTGGGGGAGGGTTCCCCTACTAACATAGAAAATAGACTGCAGAAAAAAGTTGGTACCCTTATTCTAATCTCTCTGCTGGAGGACCTAGTCAATGTTCGCTGTTGGGTCCTCCAAGTCTTTTCATGGGAAGCCGCCAGTGTTTGTTTTGGGACCGAAAGTGGCGATATATCAATGGAAGCCACCGGGAAACATGGGAAAAGAGAAAAGCACATTTGACTTGGGGAAGACAGAGGAAAGCCAGTGACCCCTGTCATGCTGTTTCTAGCTTTGTAGTTGGTTTTGGTTCTCTTGATATTTTCGTAAAATGCTGCGAAGAAATAAAATCAAAAGCAGGCAGTTGTTTGTTACCATGCCAAGGGTTGGACAGTGCGGAAACCTGTTTTTTTTCCCCCAATCCGAAAGATACGAGTTTACCTACTGTTCCGCCCTTCCAGCGATCGGTCGTTGGGTCGGACGATACAATTTCTTACTCATTCTCGTATATGCATGTGAAGCATGGTTTTAAGAGACCTGCACCCTCACACCACTCAAAAACAGGGAGATCACCCCGGACTCCTTTGGGTGGTTTCAAAGGGAAGGCCAAAAGAAAGCAACCTGGGGCCATATCGAAGCATCCATATGGGTATGTCTTTTTTCACCCCTTCCGTCAAATGGTTGTTTTCATTGTGGTTTTCTTTAAACCACAAAACAGGCACCAACCTCAAGAATTGTGGAGCAGGGACTACGGATGGTTATGTGACTACGCAAGGTTCCAACACATACCCCACAGACCTGGTGTTGGTCGGTTCATTCGGAGTTATGGCCACAAGAGGTCAACCTTTGATTTCTGGGTCCGAGCTGGCCAACTATGTATTTGGTGGTTCCCTTGTTGGTTTTAAAGGGTGTGCCTTTAAAATAGGAAATTGAACCACTCAACATGGGTAGGGCTGTCCTGTTGGATTCCCTTTAAGCCAACCCCAAAACGGCACCACCAAACATCCCTCCCACTACAATCAACACCCATGTTACACATGTTTATCCATTGTCCATTGTTCTGCAGCTCGCCTTGTACGCCAGCCAACAAACAGACAACCAATGTTGAGGGTTCCTATTGAAGGAGCCATAACCGTGCCCCACACAAGTTTCAACCGCATGTATGTGAGCTGCTTGTTTTGTACCCAGCTGCTTGCCCGCTGAGTTGCCAGCTGCTTTTCCTTGGTTTCCCGCAATAAAGGAATAAGTAGATGCACTGGGTGTAGAAAAGGCCCAAAAAGTTCAACCCGATTTTTGTCGGTTAAGTCAGCAAGTCAGTGTCTGTTGCTTTGAAGCGAAGTATGGCATGGGGTTCCCTTGGACCGTCACTTTCGAGCGGGGACCCGAAAACAAACAGAAAAAAAGAGGATTCAAAGCTAGGGTACCTGGAGTCTCCTCCTTCTGACCCCGGAACAAAAAAATCAAGCTTTCCCTTTAGAATCTGTCCCACAAAAGAAAAGGAGTGCCGAGGTTTTTTTTTGATGGAAGTCCATTGCGGGGCCTGAAGATTCTGACCTGAGTTCCGGAGCTTTAGGCATGGGAAAGTCAGGTACTGTGTTCGTATCCACTCAAGTTTGAGGAAATAAACACCGGGTTTCCTCAAAATCATGGACACCCTCCATAGATTTGGACTCAAGCTTTGAGAGACCCAAGCAATCCCTGGTCTTGTTGAAGCGCAGGATGAGACTCTTGGATGCTCCCCCAAAAAAAAACACAGAAATCGGTTGGAGCATTTCAAGGAGGTGCCTGAGAAAGGCAAAGTGGCCTTTGATTAGTCGGGGAAACGCCTAACCCAACTAACCCTATGTGAACCATTTGCGTGAAAGCCTTAATGGTTGTATCGTTTCCCTTACAAAAAGGAGAGGGTTCCAGCTCCAGAAAGCATACCCTTCCTCCCACTAACATAGCATTTGCCGGTGGGTACCTGGAAGATCATTTTCCTCAATGAACCCTTCGGGTGCCATGGCTAACCCGTGGCAGTACCCACCTTCAGGTCAAGCCTCGAGCGCCTTCCTACTGGAGCAATAGGCCGGCTCGGCTCGGCGAACAGCGCCGAACAAACAAAACGCGGCGGCTGCAGCTGCGCTTGCCATGTGGGTGTGGCTCAAAATTGAACCGGAGGGGTTACGCAGGTGTTGGTCCATGTTTCCACTTAGGTTCCATTTTGTGCCAAACAATTCTGTCCAGTTGCTTCAGATTGCGTTCCATTGTTTTCTCCTGTTGGTTGTAAAGGGACTCCATCACTGAAGAGCTCCAACTTGTTTTGTTTCGGGCTGGTTTTCTGGGGAACCCGTTTGAGTAAGCCGTTCCGCCATTTTGGCAACCACATGGGTGTGTTTGTTTCATGAGTCCCCCCAAAATGATGGTGTTCCTTTTGGTTTCCCTCTCATATACACAGAACATGGTACGATTCTACTCATGTTTTCCTTTGGTGAACCATTCAGAGGCAGTGTCCCACCCTGCAGTGACCACATCTCTCGATCTTCATGCCCGTGGTTTCAACCACTGGAGTCTCCATGACACTGTGGATGGGTGAAATCCATTCTGCACGAAGAAACCCCTGGTTTCTGATGATTCCCCCTGTAAATACCAACAAACAAGAAGACTAGTTGTGTTCCATTTGCCACTTTCAAGTCCCCTGAGTGAAGAGAACCTTGTTATTCACCTCTTCCTAACTTGGCCGAACATCCAACGAGGTGGCGAGTCGAAAATAGAGGGAGTCCGCAGGTGGGTTCGATTCTCCATTTGCCAGTGCCATCTCTTTTTCCACAAGGATACCATGACCCCTTTCTTGTTGACATCTTTGATTCGGGTCCAGGCAACAGCCCCTTGTGCAAGCCTCGTTTCGCTCAATCGGACCTTTGAACGGGCGGGAATTCGCGGCTTGTCCAATCGAGGACGTGGAGTCCCTTCCACAACGACTTCGAGGCGGAGGTGTGGACTCGATCGATCCACCTGAAACGTAGCGACTCGTGCTGTGCCGTGCTGTACGTGGAGTCTCTATCCGACCTTCCGTTTGCTGAAAAGTCCTTGACCCGAAAGAACTACCCTTAAAAAATGGGTGATTGCTTCAAAGCATATGGGGGTGACATTTGTGTGTTTTTGGGTAGTTTGAGGGTCCAGGTATGTGTTATGTTCCCCTGTTGGCTTTAAAGCGAATCGATCACGGGAATCACGGGAAATATGTTTCAAGTATTTTTCTTGGTGGTTCTCAGTTATGCCCTTAGGTTCTTAGGTTTTTGGGCTTTAGTGGTTGGGTTTCCATGTAACTCACTAAAAGTCTTCGATTTGTAGCAGGGGATCCGAATCGGACCGCCCAGTCTTTTCAGCGGAGGTTAAGAAGCGACTGGAGGTGCCTGGACCCTCCAACTATGCATACAACAAGGGACACCACCAAGCATTTTTGTGTGTGTGTGGGGGGTGATAGCCCATTCTTATCTTGGTGGCTCCCTCCCCTTCGTTTGTTAGCCTTTTGTTGTTTAGTGGTAGCTTCCATTTAAACAACTAAAAGTTAAACTTTTAGCGGAGGGCAGCCCAGTTATGAGTTCGAGGGTCCAGGGGACCTTTGTTGGATCTGTTTAGCAGAATGCCCTGGCCTTCTGGCGATCTGGACTTACGGCCTGCATGGGGTCACATGGGGCCCAAAAGGAAGGGGGTCATGGAAATCCAACCATCTGATTCGGGTCAGGAGACTCCAGTTACCCGCTTTGAGGGGTTGGTGAAGGGAAAACCAAAAGGACACCACCGCATGTGGGGGGGGGCACTTTAGACATGTTTTCAGATGGCGGGTCGGTTGCTTAGAAAGCTTTGTTACAAAGCTTCTCGGGGGGAGGGGGTAACTTGGGGCAAGCTGGAGGCTTAGCTTGAGGTTAACGAGTTCTTAGCCACTTAGTTAGCTAAGTCCCGGACGAAGTGCTCAGACTGGTTGCGGACGGTGCTTGACGTAGACCACATGAACTAATTTCCAGAAGGAATCCACCAAAATGCTATGTTTCCCAGACCCTCTATTCGGCACGCAGTCAATGAGCCCTTTCAATTCCCCAAGTTTCTGTCAAGGTTTCCCTTACGTCCACATCACCCGCAGGCAACCACAGTATAAGTTGTATAAGGGCTTCTTCACTGTTGTCGGCATGTGTTTAAGCTTTTGGTTCTGTTCATTTTTAGCAGAGGGCTGCAAACAACAATCAAGGGCTGGAACGGTTAGATACGCCCGTTTTTACCCGCTTGTAGTTTGGGGGGTGGCAAAAAAAAACTCATGAGAGAGACTTGTCCACTTGAAGAAGCCGGTTGGTTCCAAGCCAAGGGAAAGTGCCGGGCAGGGGCCTTGCATCGATGGGCAGGGGTTTGGCGCCTGGAAGGCTTTGTTTCTTGGAAGGCTAAGGAAGTTGAATCACACGACATCGTTCCCTTGTGATCAAGACGCATGGATTCTGAGCACCCCAGTTGTCCATATTCTAATGATTTAGTTGCTTGTTTTGTTTTGCGATTTGTTTGGTAAGGTGGCCTTTGCACTTTACGTCTGTTGGGAGGCTAAACTTTCATAAATTGATTTGTGGTCCTTAACTTGCGCGTAGCAGGTTGTCCCAACAGCCTTGAACGTTGAGCCGGCACTGTTGTCCATTCAGTGGAGAAGATTATACAGTGGCAGGATTTCCGCCATTTCCCTGTTTGGAATCTCCAAAAGTGGCGATATTTGTTCAATGGAAGCTACCAACTTGGTCGATTTTTGTGGAAATCCAAGCCCCTAAAGTCTACGTAAATGACGAGGGCGGTTCTTTTTCCCAGGGCCACTGGAGGTCTTGGAATTCGGTTTGGCTTGGAACCCCGAAGAAAGCGAGGAGTAGGGGGGGGCCGGCTTTACTTATCCCTTTTTGGACCTTTTGCCCTTTTGGTGTTCCATCATGTTCCTTTGAAGTCCAGCAAGCCAACTTTTTGAGGGGCTTGGTCCAGATTGAAGGTATGCCTATGGGATGGCCTTGCCTTGAAGGGCCTCCGTTTGAACATGGACGTGCGCTGGAATCCAGAGGTTTTTTGTTGTCAATTCAACACAGAATGTTGACCCCCGGGTCTAAGTAGAAACGTCTGGTTGACCTTTGTGGGCGGTGTCCCATTCCTTTTAACCTGGGGGATTCAGACCACCTTTTAAATAGAAACACCGCAGCACCCCCCCAATAGGACGAGCTTATCAATCCGGGGTCAACATGTTGACATGCAAAACTTCCATTTGCATAAGATTATGTGTTATTTTCTCTTCAAATGGAAGAAAAGCACCTGGACATCGTTGTGGTGACATCCTTTGGATCCTTAGAAAGCCACCCACCGCCTACAGTCGGCGCGGCGTGTCGCGGCTGGGCGTTTCTTCGCCAGGTGGATGTGACCATGGAGTTGCGAGATACGGTGCAGCAGCTCTTTGACATGACCACCAAGAAGGAGACGCCAACCATGAAGCACCACCCACCATGAAGCAGCAAACGAAAGAACTAATTACCCGGAGAAAAAGGTTGGTGCATTGCAACCCCCCAAATGGTTGGTGATTTCCTTTCTTTCTTTTGGGTAGCTTGAGGGTCCAGGTAGACGCCCGTCACATTTGCCGTGTACTGATCTTCCGGGGTTTGTTAGTCCCTTTGGTATGCAATGGAACCCAGACACCCGAGAATGTGTTGCTCACCGCCGCCAGACTCAGCTTGGCATTTTTAACCTTGGCCTGTTGCTCCTTCCGTATTCCCTGTCACCCAGCAAAGTTGTGTCACTGCGTTGCTCGTCAAAGTCTGGCAGGCTTGACGCCAAAGACGCGGAAAGAGACGAAAGGGAAGGCAGAAGCAAGTCGAAGTCCCCCAGTTTCCCAACGCACTTCCGGGAGTCAGTTGGCTGGAAGTCCTTTTCACTCAGTTCTCGGGATTCAGTCCCGGTTCGGAGTTCGGAGCATTTGAGTGTTAAGTTCGGAAGCTGGAAAAACTACCTGGAGCCTCACCCAAACTACCCCTAAAAATTGGTTATAGCCCCAAAAATATGGGAATCAAGCCCCTTTTTATTATGGGTAGTGTGAGAACCGGTCCAGATCCCTGAGCTGAAGGAATCAATCGCTGGGGATTTCAATGCCCCGAATCCTTTTTGGGGTAAGCCCATTGAGTCAGGTGCTCATCTTGCCTAGGTCCCCCAGTAGTGCTCTTTTACCCTTTTTTGGTTGGGAGGGTTCCTGTACTGAAATAGACTACAGAAAAAAAGGGTAATGTCTCTACTGGAGGACCTAGTGCAACGGGCAAAGGGAAAGTAAGCACTCTAATTCACTCCGCCCCGCACTTGTCCAACTGCAACTGCAATTTGTTCTGTCCGAACAATCGCATCCAACATTTGTCCCATGTCCAAAATCTTATTGTCCAAAAAACCCTTGCTGTCCAACAACCAATAAGCAGTAGCCGAATAGCCCTTCCTTGACCTCAAGACCAAGGGGTTCAGACCTCCGAATGCCCACAGAGGGGGGGGGGCTTCAAATCTCTGCGCAAAAAATGTTGAACATGCTGATATTTCTCTTGGGCACCCAGAGGTGAATGGAAAAGATGGAAAGCTCCGCGGCTTTCCCTAGCTGTCACTCATTTTGAGCCATACGCAACTCCAAGCGTTGACGATTGCTTTCTTCAAAGGGGAACCACGTCGCGACGTTGATGGGAAGAACATCAACAAAATGAGCATGACCCGCGTGGCGTGTGTTTTGTTGGGCAAGTTGGGTTTAGTTTGATGAGATGCCAACATCCCATCACCTTGGGGGAGTGCTTTGCTTTTTGGAGACCGTCCCTAGTGAAGAATTACTTATTGGCAAGGCTTTCTGTGCAACTAGAACGACTCTAACCGCCAGAGTTTCCTCTCCTAGGTCCCCCAGTAGTGCCCTTTCACCCTTTTTTGTTTGGGAGGGTTCCCCTACTAAAATAGACTGCAGCAGAGGGTTGGTACCCTTATTCTAACCTCTCTACTGGAGGAGCTAGTGATGCTTTGTCTTTTTCAGCTGATTCAGCTCTAGGTCCAGATAGGCGATACGGGGCAGTTCGCAGATTACAGCGAGGGTTCGGGGGTGTGTTGGGGATATCACCTGCGCGCATCTGTTGTTTTTGTGTTTTTCCGACTCCGAGCTCAGGATGATGGCCCTAATGTTTTTTCCATTTCACTTCGGCATTGGATCCAGTGCATCCGCGAGCCATCTCGGCCCCACCGAACCCACGAGCTCGGACGCGTTCCGAAATCTCGAACGTTTCATTGTTCATGTGGACCCTGCTGCTGCTTCCCGCCCTCGCGGCCGCCTATGATGACGAGCTTCTGCTATTGCAGCATCGCCTTAATGCGCAAGCCGCTCGAGAGGCGCCAGACACGAAAAAGAAAAGAAAGGCGAAGTGGGTGCGTGTTTTTGTTTTGGGGGGGGACCCTCAACAATGGTGGAGTTCTTGTTGGTCCCTTTTAAAGCCGCGCCAACAGGGGACCCTCAAAATAAGACAAGCCCAAGTCTGGTCGGATTTGTTCTTCCAAGTGGCCCACCTGCGGGCCCCGTGTTTTAACTTTTTTTGGGGGGGAAGTCTCTTCTCATGGACAACCACTGAGAAAGGCGGGCGCAGATCAAGTGTGAACCAGACCTTCCTGGTTTTTAAGCTCTTCTTGCTGTGTGGTTGCTGTGGTCATGCCCGGGCCAGAGTAAGCACACAAGAAGTGCTGGACTTTCGGTTCACTCTTCTTGGGCTTGGACCATTCCCCTTAGCCTTTTAGCTTTTGGTGTTTAGTGGGGATTTCCATTCAACCCACTAACAGTTAAACTTTTAGCGGGGGATCTGAGGGCAGCCTGTTCTAGTGGCAAGCGAAAGGTTTGGTTACTTTGTTTGGTGCCATCCACTCGATCGGAAGTGAGCGTAAGCTGGGATAAAGCAGGCACTGGAGTAGGATTTGATGCTACGTGAACTTCACCTGAAATCACTTCTTAGAAATCGAGATTTTGGAGAATACTTTTAAAGTGTCATGCTGGACAAGCTCACGCCAACCCTTAAAAAATGCGTAATATGGGATAGTTTACCCCCCCCTCCCCAATCCCATAGCCTCCACTTTGAGGTCCATGCGAGTGGTAATTAGTTGAGAGTGAAATTATACAATTTCAGCTGCTCAAATTCAAAAGGCGCCTTGTGACCTCTCCTTTCCCCCTTGGGTGATCTTATAGATTTCTGGGTCCAATGTGCCGAGAGGCTCTTGGCAGGGCCCCTTTTGGCGCCTTCACCTTTTCTAGGTCCCCAAGTGCCCTTCTTGGGGGAGGGTTCCCCTACTAAAATAAACATCCTGAAAGAATCATGAGATTCACTAGGTCCCCCAGCTAGGTGCCCTTCTCTCCCCTTTTTTGGTTGGGAGGATTCCCCTACTAAAATCGACCACCGAAAAGGAAAAAACAACAGTTGGTACCAACTTATTCTGTCCTCTCAACTCTGGACCTAGTTGTTGTCTTTGGCTCCCTGGGGCCCCAAAAAATCGCTCAGGCGCTGATGTCCAACGCCCACGCCGCGGGGTGCCGGAGTTTGCACGTGGAGGTCACCGAGAAAGCCCACGAGCTGCGGAACATCCGGTGGCTGCACTTTCCCAAGGCGAACAAAAACGGAGGTCGTGGGCTTTCTTGTCGCTGCGATAGGGAAGGAGAAATGGAATGACCCTAAGAAGCCATGCCTTTAAAAAAGTAGGGGTCGAATCGTTTATTATTATTATTATTGTTATTATTATCATTATTTATTACTATTGTAATTGTTATTGTTATTTATTGTTTGTTGCTAACAAGAAGAAAAGACAACAATCATCATCAGCATCATCATTTTCTTTTTCTACTCATGACTCATGTCTAAGGAACTACTTGCGTGGGACCAGTTGGTAACTAGGATACAACCAGTGAGTTTTCGGGTTTTTGCTAGGTTTTCTTGCTGGTGCGATAGGTTTTTGTTGGGGAGGGCTCCCCTACTAAAATAGACTACCGAGAAAAACAACAAAAAGTTGGTACCAACTTATTCTAACCTCTCTACTGGAGGACCAAGTGAATGAGAAATGGAATGACCCTAAGAAACCATGCAACTGGTCGTTTCTTTCTGAGCACCAGCAAGTTTGTTGTGCTACTCATTTCTAAGGAGCCCTACTTGTCAGATTAGCCTTTGGTGCTTCAGATTGGTGGTTTGGATCTGGATTGGAACCCTTCGTGTTTTTGGATGTCCAAGGAACTACTGGGGTGTGAGGGGCCAAGTTGTTGGTAACCTAGGCTTATGACCGGTTGTAAGTTTTCTGGTTGTAAGCCCCGGTTGTAAGTCGAATCGTCGGGTACGTCTCAGGATTTCTAAGAAATCGAGACTACTTGGGTGTGAGGGGCGTTAGGTTGGTGATTGTTCGCCCAGTGGATCCATTTACTAGGTAAAGGCAGGTAACTAACCAAAGGGCTTGCAACCCTTTAAAAGCCCACAGGAAGATAGTGGGTAACTGAGAACACTGTGAGTGGCTCAGCTAACCACTCACTTGTCGAATCGAACATCCAAGTACGATTCCCTAGGCTCGCTTCCTGAGTTCCTGGACTTCAGTCACTTTGTGGGGAGATCATTTTACTGGCAAACAAATATGCAACCGGTGGTATCCCCAACAGCAACCAAATCGGACCCGGGCTTCCCGAACCCAAAATCCGAAACCCGAAGCCGCGAGTTCGCTTTCCTTCGGCCGGAACCCCCCAGTTGAATTGATTTCCCAACAAGACATCGAATCTTCAGAGGAACCCCCGTTTTTGTGCCTTCTAGGCGTACTCACCCGCGTCAATTGCATACCGAAGAGGAAATCGTGTCATCTACTTCACCCTGGTGTACTTTGCCTCACTCCCTGAGTTCGACTTTGGTCACTTTTGGGAAGATCATGTTAGTGGCAACAAACATAATGGTTTACTTGTTCGACCAGTCCACTCGACCGGAAGTGAGTTGCAACCGGGCAAAGTGAAGGCCAAAGGGAAGCTGCGAAACTGAGCCGAGAAATTGAAGACTGGATCCATACTTCAAAAGATGGGTGCATGTATCTTCTTTTTTTTCCGGAGCCCCATGGATTTCAGAGTGTTCCTTTTCTTTTCCCCTTCGACCGGACACAAAGGGCCAAGTCCTTAGAATAGACCAGAGGCACGTTGGTCTTTCACTTGAAAGCTATGGCTCACATGGCTGCAATTGGATGCCGCGTTTAGGGAAAAATTGAAAAATGGCAAAGAGATCCGAGATCCGCTTTGTCCGAAACGACCAAAATTCAAATCTGACAGATGTCTTCGGCTGATCTCAACCCCGGCAACCTGACGAGCCGCGACCTTTGGTCTCAAAGCCTGAGATCAGATCCATCAAAACCTGGCGAAAAATAAACAGGGCTCCTTAAAAGATCTCCATTTTGCAACCAATTGACACATGTTGCTTTTTCAACACCAAGACTAAAGTTGAAAACCACCATTTACAAGTTGCAATGTTCAGGTGTTCTTCATGCATCAGGATCCCTGATAAAGCAGGTTAGCAAAGGAGAATCCCAGCCAATGAGTGCCTTAGGCCCCAATGGTGGCAGATTTTTCTACCGATCAGTTTGGATTGATGTTGACACCATATGAAGCAACCGCAGTTTGTTCGTAGGTGGGAGCCCTTCCAAGAGTGGTCTGATTCCCCAGATGTCACCTAGAATCGGGAAAGCACCCCTACGAAACGAAACTTTGAAGTTGCGTCAACAAGGCCATAAGCACATTTCACCCAGAATCGGACAACCCCCCCCATCTAAGTTACAAGCAAGATTATGACTGGGGTTGAGGTGATCGTCCCCAGCTTCCTTCCTTCCAGTTGCTTAGTAATATGTTTTAAGTACCGCTGTTGGTTTCAAAGGGGATCGATCTATCACTACTGGACGTATTTTCTCATTTTCCCAGGTGGCGAAAAATCAAATGGAAGCATGTTGGCCGTTGCTCAAGTTGACAAGTGCCTGTTTTGTTCTTGTTTTGAACGATTTCAACGGAAGCCCCTGGAGTATGGCCCATGTTGGTAGAGCTTCCATTCCATTTTAGCGATCGGTTTTGAGTCTCGATGTTCAGCCAAGTTAGTAGGTTGTAAGCAAGATTGTGACTGCGGGGGCTGGTCGTCCCAGCTTCCTTCCCATTTTTCCCGATCGGTTTTGAGTCTCGAAGCGGTTTTCAGGCAGGCACCAGCTTCATTTCCACCATCTGGAACTACGCCTGCGCGCGGAAAGCTCCATTGGACTTGGCGATTGGCAAAACGCACGTGTGCCTCGGGAGTGGTTTTGTTTTTCTCGTTTTTTCCAAGGCATTTCTCCCGTTTTGAAGAACCTCAAGCGCCGTTCGTTCCAATGGAAACGAGGTGGTTATTTTTGGCTGCTATTTGGTTGCTCTTGAGTTGGATCTTGAGACTTCGTTGTTTGGGCTCTTGTGAAGCTGCTATTTGGTTGCTATCGTTGGTTGGATCTTGACACTGCGTTGTGTGGCTCTTACCAGGCTGCGCTTTTTGGCTGCTGCTTGGTTGCTATCTTTGGTTTGATCTTGAGACTGCGCTGTTGGGCTCTTATCAGTCGGCGCTCTTAGGCAGCTACTCGTATTTGGTTACCACCTTTGGTTGGATCTAGACTGCTTTCTTGGCTCTTATCAGACGGCGCTCTTTGGCTGCTATTTGGTTGCTATCTGTGGTTGGATCTGTTGACCGTTTTTTGTCTGCGTTTTTATTTGGTTGCTATCAAGGATTTTCTTGCTGGCTGCTATTTGGACCTTCAGACTTTAACTTCTTAGGAAATGAAGTTTTTTTCCCACTAAGCATCTCTACCTCTCTCTTCTGGGCAATTTATGTCGACGTCATGTTCCGGGGGTAGTGCCATGTCACCAATTAAGAAAACATCTTGCACAGTCAGCCGATTTTCCTTTAGCTCCTTGGCATGGCTTGACCCTGTCTGGGGTTGGAGATTATGTGTTGCTTCGGGTACACGAAATGGGCGTGTCATATTTAGGAAAAAACGACCTCAAAAGCGGGTACCAACACCAAAAAAGACGGACCCAAATATGCATAATCAGATATTGGCTGCTGTAACTTTATGGTTGAACCTTGTATCATGGAGAGGGTCCATTGAAGGGGGGTTCCCTGAACTTTGTAGGGAACCCCCAATAAATTCCCATATTTGTAGCCAAGTTAACCAATTGACCGCACTTCGCTGAAGATACAAACAATCGCTCACGTTGTTTAAGCTTTCTCGCTATCTTTCACTGAGGTACGACTTCGCGCTGATGAGCCGCTACCCATCGGTGCAGTATTGTGACTCTGTCCACAACCCCAACCCAAACGTCATAATGTGCCAACCCATTAACCCACGGAGTCATTTCTGCCATGTGTCTGCAAATGTTTACTTACCGCTTCGGGTGAAGAAAAGAAAGCGAACACCACTGATGTAGGTCTTTTTGGATCACTTGGGACTTTTTAAGTATCCATAATTCGTCTTTTGGAATTTCAGCCTTGCGCGCAACCCACTCGCACGGAGACAGGCAGCGAAGCCTTCGCTTCGTATGATGCATGCCTTCGCTTCGTCCGCCAAGTGGCTTGCCTCGTGCTCAGGCCATACACTGCTGGCCGTTATCACATCACCAGGTCAGATCAGGAATCTGGAGCTGGCACCTCGACTGGATTGTGCAGCACATTGCCTGCAAGCGAAAGGCCTGTGTGATCGAAGCAGCCACCGGTTGCTGCTGCACGTGCACGGAACCTTGCGGTGTGAATCGGTGCCGGCGCACTCATTGTGCCACCGAGTTCCGCAGTCTTTCCATGATGAGCCCAGTGATGACAACAAGCCAGCGCAGGCAGACTTGCCACATCAGCAAGGCCTTTTGCTGTGGACACGCAGCAGCCCAGGCTGCCGTCCTAGCTGTGCCAGCGCCTGCGATACAAGTGGCAGGTCGGGCAACCTGCGCCCCAATGTGGGGCGGCGGGGGCTTGTGCTGTGGTGCAGC